CGTAACTCAAAAAGTATTTGACCTAGAGTCATGAAACTTTACAGGAATGTTGATCAGCATGTGTAATTGTGCACCTGGGTATTTTCGTCTGGATATTCTTAGTATTTTCAGAGTTATTGCCCTTGACTTAGTAAAATTTTGCAATTTTCAACTTGTGTCGCACGTAACTCAAAAAGTATTTGACCTAGAGTCATGAAACTTTACAGGAATGTTGATCAGCATGTGCAGTTGTGCACCTGGGTATTTTCTTCTGGATATTCTTAGTATTTTCAGAGTTATTGCCCTTGAGTTAGTAAAATTTTGCAATTTTCAACATGTGTCGCACGTAACTCAAAAAGTATTTGACCTAGAGTCATGTAACTTTACAGGAATATTGATCAGCATGTGCAGTTGTGCACCAGGTATTTTCGTCTGGATTTATTTAGTATTTTTAGAGTTATTGCCCTTCACTTGGAAAATTTTTGCAATTTTCAACTTGTGTCGCAGGTTTCTCAAAAAGGATTTGACATAGTCTTTAAACCTTATGGGCAGGTTGCTCAGCATATTTTAGATTTGCACCTGGGGTTTTGCTTGTGGATTTATCCAGTATTTGTAGAGTTATTTCCCTTGACTTAGTAAAAAGATTGACAGAACAGTGGCGCGGTGGGGGCACCCGTGTCCTATGGACACATTTCTAGTTTGCATTTTTTTTTTAAATAGCCAAGTGAATCAGAAGATCAAATGGCACATAAATTAATAATAAGTATAAATAGCCTTATCATTTAGTAATCACTGAAGAGATACATGGACATGTATATTAATGAACTTGGTGCATTTTTAATGAAGCTTTGTAAAATTGTTCATTTTAAGTTGTGCATTCTTCATAAGATCCTATTTAAATTGTAGTTTTTAAGACAGAATTATGATACTTATACTTAACTGTTAATTGAAGTTCCTTTATTGTAACCAGACATTAAATTTCTTTTATGAAGTGGTTTTATTTCTCACATCAATTGTTATCGGATTTGTTTCATTTAAATACTAATTATTAAGTACTTTGATTAGAACAAAATGAATTATTCATATTAATTACAGATCAGATTTCTAATGTTTATGGTCTTCAGTTGTCCTTAATGGTTCTTTTATTGTCATTTTATACCATTTGGGAAGAAACCTGCTGGTAACAGGTGATATTGACATGTGATGGTCTCCTGAGGATAACATGTATAGTGAAGCGAGACCACTCTATGTCTGACCAGGCTCTAGGTCAGTTAATAGACTATACAAATATTAATTGGGAGAGATATTGTACTCGTGTTGGTGTCCAAATAAGGGCCCTTTGGTTAAAATTGGTCCCGCCCTGGGGGTCATTGATTTTGCTTGTATGTGTATAGTAAAAATTTTTAAAAAATCTTCTTATAAATAACCCAAAGAGCTAGAGTTTAGATACTAAGCATGAAATATCTTCTAGTGTGTGTCTACAAAGTTTGTTCAAATTAAAGCCCTGGGGTCAAAATTGGCCCCTTCCAGGGGTTTGGGGGATCATTGTTTTTCCCTATATGTATATAGTAAAAACTTAAAAATCTTCTTATAAAAACCCCAAAGAGCTAGAGCTTAGATATTTATCATGAAACATCTTCTAATGGATGTCTACCAAGTTTGTTCAAATAAAAGCCCCTGGTTTAAAATTGGCCTTGGCCCAGGGGCCTATATACAAATGTACAGGTGAGCGATTAAATTTAGGGCCATCAAAGCCCTCTTGTTGGTATTTTAGGGAAATCATTGCTAAAACTGCTAATTTGGGAAGTACAAAAGCTGAACCAAGAATATAGTAACATAATTATGTAACTTTGTTTGTAATTTTACATAATTTCATCGGAACCGAAAGATGGATTGCCTCACTTTGAAATGTTTAATTGTTATATGATGATGATATGAAAATACTGTGACAGCTGCAGGGTGAAGATATAATTGTGAGATAATCATCTGCCAATAATTAGCTGATAGATACATGTGTGGATAGTTTCCTGATAGTATCTGAGTTCTGACCATTCACTATATGTCCAATGTTGTACACTGTAATCAATAACTAGATATATGTGATGTAAAGATGGAATTTTGATTCTTGTATGGTTTCAGCAGTCTTTTCTTGTTACATGAAGACTTGAGCTTTATATTCACAAATATGCAATTATATAAAAGTATGCTTGAAAGTATTAGTGAAATTGTGCTTTCATCAGATTTTTAAATCTAGAGACCAAATGATGTTAAATTATTAATTGTTTCATGAAATATATTTCAAAGTTAACATGTTTCCTGTCTCCCCCATGCCCCCCAACACCCCCTCCGACTTGATCTTAATGTTTGGTAAGGGTATCATTAAGAATAATTCCGATTTAACCTGATTTTTATGTTTGCCAGAATTAAATCAAAATTTACAATTTTGCTTTAGTTGAGACTTATTTTCTATCAATTTACCTAACATAAATACATGTACTTAAATAAATCATTTAGGGCCATAACTGCATATCTGAACTGTACAGATCGATTAGTTGGTAAATTTGAAATTATTGAGTGGTCATTCAGCCTGCTTTTGTGACTTGTGCCCACCTGAGATCCATACCATAAATTGTATGTCTTTCTAGTAGGTCATTTGCATTTGTTAATTGATGGTTTCCCCCTGATTTGTATAATTGCATAAATTGTCAATGTTGAATAAATTACCAATTTTCCAATTGCTCTAAATCAAGTTTTATGTATCATGTGATCGGCACATTTTAACTCTCATTCTACTATATTTTCTGATTTGGAGTACATTGCCTGCTTGCATTGTACATTATACATGTTAAAATCATGAATTGCTATGAACTTTTATATTTTTAAACTCTGTTATTGAAATGGTATATAGAAAATGTGACAGTGAACTTTACAGCATGGAAATATTTTGAGCGTCAGCTGTTTAATGCTTTGTGACATTATGACCACCTGTAAAGTTAATTCCATATTTTAGTTGTAGAATAGCATTGTGATATTTTTTCCAAGATGAAAAGTTCAACATTGTTTATACATAGATTTATTTTTCCCGAATAGCTAAAACATAGTATTAACTGTATTTGGAAAATATATACTGGGGTAGATGTAAATTTTAAGATATATATTTAAAGAGATTTATTCATAATTTTGACTTAATCATAATATGATTGTGGTGATTGAAAGGAAAATATTAACTTTGTGATAGACAATAAAAGTTACAATTTGTTAGTTGAATCGTCTGCTGGCAGAGTTGATACAGTGTCGTCTGCTGAGTGTATTTAGTGTTTGGTCATACGCCAAATTTTTTTCCGCATTAAAGTTAGAAAAAAAATGTTGCTTAAATATATATAGATATACATGTAAATCAAATGAAGTTTGATGGTGATTTTTTTGCTCTGCATCATATATGACACTATTCATTGATCAGATACACTGTATACATATATATACATGAATATTACGTTTTAATGTATTTTTTTTTTTGAATTGTGGACTTTACTAGGTAATAGATTGGCTAATATGTATTTTGTATCTGATGATTGAATTTTTTAGAGAATATTTGTTGCAATAGCTTTGAACATCATATAAGTGATCACTTAAGATTTTATGATCAAATATGAAATTATCATTCAATCGATATACTGTACCAGTAATTTACGTTCGACTCGTGACTAAATTTTAAGATTGTTTTATAATTTGTGGATGATTTGAAAGGGGTAAATCGGTTTTTATTGATGGTTTGGAGACAGTGTACGTATTTTATGATGGCAGGAAAAGATTAAAGTTAATAGAAGTGAAGTACTATTGTAAAACAGGATGTACATGCTCGAAGGCGTTTTTCCGACCTTATCCATTTTCTCCATTTTTACGATCTTTTGTTTTATAGTAAATCTTCTTAAGATGTTTATTTAAGTTTGATTGAATAATGGATTTACATCAGTAAATTTTTAATACTTTCTGTTATTTTCGTTTCTAAAATTAAAACTACGAAACTGTACTCGGGTTTTTATAGACGTGTTTTAGAGTGTGCGTGCGATTGTTTATAAATAGGTTGCTGAAATTGAGGAAGTTATTTTATAGAGAGAAAATTTACAGTGCTGTATCATTTATTAAAGGCTGTTTATAATACATATATATGAAATCTACTGCATACGATTGAAATGCATTTTTGTTTAACGCAGTCTGTAGACCTGATTTAAATTTATATTTGCCAAAAGTGTGAAAAGAGTGATTTATTTGATGTAAGACAATTTCACGAAAGCTGTGCGATGTAAATTTGATTGATTTTACGTTATTTGTCAATGACTCTTAAGGATCAAGGAAATGTAATTTTCAGTGATGGTGGATTGTGAATAGAGAAAAGAGTGACAAAAATGCACGCATGCAGACAACACTATTGTGTTTGCACACAATGTGAAATAATAATAATAATAGGAAAAATGTATGGTGTTAACAAATAATTATAGTAAAAATGTATGGTGTTAAGAACATGATAATGTGTAAGCAACACTGTGTAAACAACAATATATAAAAGTGGATATTTGCAGTATTGTACATGTACGTATGATAATGGATAATGGATACTGATCAGATGTACATGTATGTTTAGTGCTAACAATACATGACTGGGAAGTATTATATAATCACACATGTATATGTTATACTATTCATAAATTTGTACATGATCTCAGTAGCTTGAAGGATGCAGTTGTGTTAATATCCTGAAATGTTGTTTTTACATGTATTTGTGAGAAAAAAATCAATTACTAACAAAGTACTGATTGAGTTGAAATTCATCGACAAGGAATAATTTAAATGTAATTTTTACAACATGGCTAATGGAATATATATTATATAGTTCTTGGTGTAAGTTAATGCTGTTCAGATTGCAATAATTTTAATTTTACATGGATTATATAGAAGAGTGGACTAAATGATAAATTAATGGGTGTTTTTCATTGAGCAACTTCTTCATATTAATATGTTATAATTGTGTGTGAATTATATAATAATTGTGTTTGAAAATCAGATCATTATTGTGAAACAAATGTGCTTACTGGATTAAAATTCTTTTAAATTGGAATTAAATTATTTATAATAACTTTTGTTACAAAATGAACAAAATGGCATGGAAAGCAAAACATGGGTAAGTTAAATGGTAATTTACACAAAGACTATCATTTAAAAGTTTGTAGATTTATGCCACTTGATGTTTAAATATGACATTGAAGGGATGTTTTGCCTCAGAAAGGAATATGTTTTTACTTCTTTAGAAAAGACAAACATTGTAAAGTTTTATAATGTCTAAATAATGGTTTTAGAACATGTTAGATTCTTGTTACTTGAAGAAAGAAGGTGGGCCATCCGTGGCCAAGTGTTTGAAGTCATTTGGCCCTCAATGATGTGGGTTCAAATCCCAACAGGGACTTTTCATGCGAGGTAGCTATCCCGGTGGTTCTACTCAAGTGCCCGTTTGTGACATTCAAAATCAGATATATATATATGAGTTGTTTCGCTTTTTCACCAACATTTCATTATTAATCGAAATGTGCTGCTTGGTGGACAGGACTGGTGGTGATTTTCTTTCCGTGCCCAGATAAAGTGTTGGCAGAGTAGAATATATCCCTCTGAATTTAAAATGGGAGAAACTAATTGACATTGTTTATATATACAAAGTCAAATGAAAGTGATGATAAAAGAAAACAACAACAACAACAGCACAACATCTTTTATAGACCTGTATAAAAAAATCTAACCTTCATTTTTTTTTTCAGCTCAAACCCAGATCTCCTGACAGAAGTTACGTATGGCGAAGTAGGAAGTAAGTGTTTTTTTTTTAATGTAGGTCAATTGTTTAATGGTAATCTATGCACGATACACTCTTAAATGTGCTTTCTGTGTTGATTATTAACATTTTGATTAACAGAATTCTTTGGTTCTTGTCATGCCTTAAATTCTTTATCAGGGAATTTTCATAACATATTTGGGCATAACATTAAGGCATCGAAAAATTTATTCAAATTCACAAGTCCTGCAGGAAATAGCTGCTAAATCCAATGTGCAGGCAACATTTTTCTACTTGTCCTGCATCAAGTTCTTGTACATGTAAATTCTACTCGGACAAGTGAAATTTTCGATCTCGGTAACATCTTTAAATCATGTTTCAAGTGCATAAAGCTGTGTTATCTGCTGCCTGTAGTTTACAAAATTATCGTTTAAATTTTGAAAAAGTACCTCAGGTATACATGTACAAGAAAAATGTTCGTAGATGTTTTTAGAGTGAATAGCAAATGCACAAAATCATTGCGAAAATGTTAAAAGTTAAAACCCTACTTAAAATATCAGCATAAAAGTTTTTTGGCAGAACATTTTCATTCTGTTATGTACACTTTTTATGTACGTGTTAAATAACCTTTTAACTTTACAGTAACTTTTTCAAGAATCAGCATTTACTGTAAAGGTATGGATTTGACACAATTTTACAGTTTACTTATTTCATTAGAGCTGATACCTGCAGGTCATTTTCCCCCTACTGGCAAGGTTTGAATCCCATCACGGACTTATAGAATATTGGTCGTGAGGAAGTTGTGCATTCCTCCACAGATGAGGTTGGGAGTCATCTCATAAGACTCTAACAGTGATGGTGTAGCTTAAAACTGACCAAAAATAGATATGATTTATATTGGAAGTTTGTTTGTTCAGCAGACAAGAATGCTTATTTTGATTTATGAAATAATAATATTATCCCAAGCTGTGATTTTATTGCTAATTAAAATCACTGTTATGGAGTTTGGATGCGATGAATTATTATCACAAAGGTGTAGTCCAAGTTATATAATGATGTGCATCCAGCAACTGTGAATGAGTGATTTTATCAAGCGATAAAATCACAGATTTGGATATATTATTTCGATTCTTACAAGACATCAAGAAATAAATGCTGCTGTACCTGATATTATACTAAATTGCGCATACTTAGATTGCATTTCTAGTGGTTACGTCACATGTAAATTGATAATGTCACAAAATTAATATTATCTAAATATAGGACGTCAACAGTGATTTTATTGCATAATAACACAGAAAAAAGGGAAAAAATTTGGGCCATGTTAGAATTACAATAAATTACTGTACCTGACTTTTGGAAATTTTAGATTGAAAATATTTTCACCAACGATGCTTTCTTTCCTGTTATCAATAACTCACTAAAAAAACTAAGATACCAATCTTACTAGAGCATTTTAATTTCTTGTGTCACTTTTGTCTGAATTTGTAAATTAATAGTTATTTTTATGTTTGATTTTGCAGTAATGGAGAAAAGTACGGGTAGAATGTCGCCAGTACGAGGGCGGACCATGAGGGAATATGAACAGGTAAGTTACGAGGGCCGATATTTAACGTTTCTATCTTGTGTCTGTTTAACGTATAGGCGCCAGTACGAGGGCGGACCATGAGGGAATATGAACAGGTAAGTTACGAGGGCCGATATTTAACGTTTCTATCTTGTGTCTGTTTAACGTATAGGGCATTGTTATCATATGTTGAAAGCTTAAATAAGAAAAATATGCTTACTGTTAACCCATTTTATTGTTTTAGCAAGTTTGTTTGTCCAAAGTTTACTGTATTAGATTTCTTTTGACGACTGTGTAATCACTTTGATGTAGAAATCCCTTTAATTAGTTATTGAAAGGTCAAAGTTCATTGCTAGACAAATGTTATTTACAAATCTTGATGAATAAAGGTTAATGAATCGATAAGGGTTGCAGGGGCTAGGCTGGTCTAGCGATTAAGGTTCTGCCTCTTAACCCATTGATAGCAAGTCTAAGCACTGCCAGGGTCACAAACATGTTTCCTAGTATGTCGCCACCACTGGTTAGTTCCAGGAAGCTGACTGGCGAGCGTTTCAAATAAACTAGAATTTTTTTTATCACAATCATGCACCATGTATAATAAAATGTGTTTAAGCTAAACTTATTAACAGACACTGGCAGGTATTAAAATTCAGGAATCACTATTTACACAATTAAAAATGGACAATTTATGTCTGGGTGTACTTGTTGATTTAACACTGAAAGCATTGGTATGTAAGTACAGTTCAGAAAGGTCATTAGGTCATGTGATAATGAATAAAGGTCGGGGATTAACAAAGTAGGTCGGGAAGTTAGCGACTAGCTGTTATAATTAACCTGCGCTTTGCCAGACAGCCTGACCACAGGTTCTTTGAAGTTTTTTATTGACATATACAGGGTGGTGTAAAAATATGTGACAGTATACATTTTTCAATGCATATTTAATTGGCTTAGTTAAAAGCAATTAATTTTCTGTCTATGACTTTTGGTCTAGTTTAAATACATTAAAAATGTAACTATGTCATTAAGGACAGCTTATAACCCTTTGTTTATTTTTAAACCAAATTACATCATTTAAGCACCAAGTGATATGAACATTAACAAAAAAATGAAAATTTGAAAATTATGATAAAAATGAAGAAAAGATATGAATGCTTGGTTGTCATAAAAAATTTCTGAGTCTGTCCATTTTGAATATGAGGCTGTCATTATTGGTTTTATCACATACAAAGAGTGTTTTGAGGCGACCAAAAATGCATTTGGGCCACTTCGGGAAAGGTTGACTTTATACTGATGATGTGATAATGTATGTTTTTATATTTCCAGCAAATGGGGGAGCTGAGAAAGGAGAACTTTGATCTAAAGTTAAGGATCTACTATATGGAGGAAAAAATAAACTCAAAATTTACATCGGAAGATATCATCAAACAAGTACGTGATTGTGCTATCATGACTGCTCTTTATTCCGTTATAATTTTGGTTGAAAATTTGCGTCTTTGTTTACTGATTTTTTACCATTTATTTTTAATATAATAAAAAAATTTTTAAATTATTTTAAGGCATAAATGAATAATTATTGTGATCTGCATGGGGCAGAAAACCAATATGTAAGATGATCCTGGTTTATATTCTACCATAACTTTTTTGATATTTTGTTTCAGAAATAGTATATCCCAAAGAGTCATTTTACTAAATGAAAGCACTATTTGGAGTTCAGATGCGAGAAATTATGCGCATCCTAACATGCTATTATTATGTTCAATAGAGAAAAATTTGTGTTGAGTTAGAATATTCTTTATGCAATTAAATGTAGAGCCCACTTATTCTAGTGTTCTAATGAGGAATCCATATAAAGAATGTTTTCTGGGGGAAAAAAATCTTCTTCTTTTTTTCTTGGTAAAGTGAAATTGCATGAATATCTGATTGTTGAAATGAGCGGTTTCACTTCTGGTAAAAATACTAATTTTTACCCCCTAAAACATTCTATGTTTGTGTTATTAACTAGTTTCTACACTTGATATGATAAAAAAATTTATGAAGTATTCTAAAAGTTATCCTGGACCATCTATATTGTAATGCCCCATGCAGATCATAAAAATGTCACATGGTATAGACATGTTGTTTTCTCAATGAGATTTAGTTTACAAAATTTAAACCTACGAGATTTAGTTGAACTTTCTTTTTATTCACTTGAAACCAATAGTCAAAAGCTACAAATTTTTTTTTTCAGAACATAGAATTAAAAGTAGAGATGGAGAGTTACAAGAAGAATATACACGAGAAACAAGCATTGCTAGATAAAGCCTCGTAAGTTGTTGTTATTTTATCTGCAGAACAATTTACTTGTTGAATACACAGCTCTGATACTGACTTGCCTATATATGCTATTAGTTTAAAGCTGCTTGCCTCCAGATGAGCCAAAAATATTTCATGATCTAACTATAGAAAAATGTACTTTAAAAGATTTTAATACTAGCATATAGATTGAAGTAATAATTTGTGTGGCAGCGTGGCCGAGTAATTAATGTGTCAGACTAGAAATCTAAGGATTGCTGACGGTGTGGGTTCAAACCCTGCTGGGACAAGCCGTTGTTTTCATGAGCAAGAAACTTTACATTTATTGCTTAGTACTGGTTGGTTCCAGGAACGGATTCAAGAGTATTTCAATAATCTTATAGATTCCAACATAAATAAATTGGTATAAACCAAGTAATAATTTACATGTTATGTGCAATTAATGACTGATTTTGCAATAATGAGTATTCATCACCATATTTCTACTGCTTAATATTCATGACTGTCATACTGTTAAAATTGATACTGAAGGCAACAAACCTAACTGAGAAGAAAATTTTATTGTATTATTTACAGAGAAACTATAGAAACATTAACATCAAAATACTCAGACCAGTTGGAGAGAGAGGTTAAAAATATCAAACAAGAGTGCGAGGATAAAATGGCCACAGCCAACCAGGTGAGCTCCTCTGTCTTAAGATTTTATAATTCCACTTAGGATATAGATGTCCTTGTCCATACATCCCTCTGTCACGCTCTCCCTCCATATAGTTTCTAATTACTACTATTTTTAGTTTTACTATTGTATCAGTAAGTACTTTGGTTAAGTTAGTTGATAGACTGCTTGAATTAGATGTAAGACATCTCCAATTAATGATAAGGGGCAGCGTGGCCGAGTGTTCAACATGTTGGACTAGTAATCTAACGATTGCTGGCTATGGTTTCAAACCCATCAAGGGCAAGCCCTCGTTGTCGTGAGCAAGAAACTTTACACTTATTGCTTAGTACTGGTTGTTTCCAGGAACAGATTCAAAAGTGTTTCAATTAGCTTATAGCTTTCAACACAACCAAACTAAAATAAATTTGTATAAACTAAATTAGTGATTGAATACCGTCTGTAAGATATAATGGTCCTCTGGTATATGACATATAAATCCCTGATAAAATTGTAACCTAGTTGTAATAAATATCTTGTTTCAGCATGTGGGTGAGATGGAGGAGCATTATATGACTTTATTAGATGATATGAAACATCTTGAAGAAGAGTGTAATGAAGTATTAAAACCAAAGTTAGAGCAAAAAGAAAAACAGTGCCAGGTAAAATATATTATGTGAGATAATGTTTTTCTTGAAAGGCCTGTTAAGCCTCAAAATTAGTAATGTTCTCATTTTTAAAATCTTCTGATTCTTTGATGTCCTATTACAATTTCCAAAGTGTAACTCATTGGTCAATAACGGGGTCATCTTTTTGCTTCTTTTGTGTTTTTGGCGATTACTATAGTTATAGGGATTTTGTATTTTGTATGGAAGTCAAAATATCACATTGTTTACATTTAACTACCTTTATTATGAATTATTTCACATTTTTAGCTATTTTCTTTAGGCAATAAGCATGTAACATGCTATTAAACATTTATTACAACACCAGTTTGCCCTCCGTGTCACAGGTAGCATTAACAGTATGGACACCCCACCCCAACTATAAGTTTGATAGTGAAAAAAAAATTAAAATTTTTTTTGGTGGTTTTGTATTTGGTATCTTATAGTAAGCCTTAGAGTGTTGAATTATTATTTTTCAGGGTTGTTACATGGGTACAGGGGCAGGGTGGGGTGGGGTGTCCAAACACTGATACTGCCACCTGTGCTCCATGCTGTCAGACCACAGTCTGCACTGTACGCTATTCAGTCAGTTGATATTTTCATGGGTACAAGTTTTGCACACATTTGCCTGAAGTTCAGGTTTATTATTCGGCTGAGATAAAAATAATTAAAAAATCTTATATTCATGGTTTTCAGACATTTTGAACTTGCACCCATGTACATGTGTTAAAAAAAAAATGACGAATGGTTTTGGACCAGATTGAATGATATACAAGTTCATATAAGATATTTAATGGGGTAAAAGTTGAGGGCTTTAGGCTTCTTATTATTATTTCAAGCTTTCACATCATTAAAATGTAGTACAATCTTCAATTATTGAATTATCCAAAAAAAAAAAAATGCTTAAGCAAGTTAAAACATTAATTTTGTAAGTACTTTATATATCATCAGCTTATTGCAGTAATGGGTTAACTCCAATTCTTTTATATCAGAAGTTAACCCTTTACAGCACTAAGGTGGTGGTATATGAAATTTTTCCGCTTGTTTAATCTTTATATATTTGATATTTATAGGAGCTTAGTGTAGACCTAGATGCTAAGGATAGGTATGTATATCATATTTTCCTATATAATCTTATATATAGTATCAGAAGTGTAGATATCAATATTTTTATGCCCCCACAAAGTGGGAGCATATAGCGTTGCACTTGTCCGTCAGTCCGTCCGTCCCGAAATCTTGTGAACGCAACTCCTCTTAAACCGGATGGCAGATTTTGCTTAAACTTTTAGGGATGAATAACCTTAATGTGTAGATGGTAGTAAAGGAAGGAATTTTTGCTGCGACTAAATTTAATAGAATTATGGCCCTTTGTTGATTTTTTTCACTATATACTATGTAGAAATTTTGTGAACGCAACTCCTCTTAAACTGGCTGGCAGATTTTGCTTAAACTTTCAGGGATGAACAACCTTAATGTGTAGATGGTAGTAAAGGAAGGAATTTTTGCTGCGACCAAATTTAATAGAATTATGGCCCTTTGTTGATTTTTTCACTATATACTATGTAGAAATTTTGTGAATACAACTCCTCTTAAACCGGATGGCAGATTTTAATAAAAAGTTCCACATAAAAATCTTACATACAGATATGCATGCTCTTGTTTACGAGCACATCTGCACAGTGGGGGCATCAGTGTCCTTTGGACACAATTCTAGTTTTATTCTATGTAGAAAAAGAATTTGTACATGGTACCTGCCATTATTAGGGGTGAGTGGTGGCCTAGTGGTTAAGGTGTCTGCCTCTTAATCCAGGGATCATGGGTTCCAGCCCTACTCTGGTCGGGACCATAATATGATCTGCACCATGACAAAACCAACATTGTGCCTTTACGACCAGCATGGATCCAGACCAGTCTGCGCATCTGCACAGTCTGATCAGGATCCATGATGTTTGCTATCAGTTTCTCCACTTGAAAGTGAACAGCATGGATCTTGATCAGACTGCGCGGATGCACAGGCAGGTCTGGATCCATGCTGGTCACAAATGCACTATGCCAGGTTTGTCATGGCGAGTCTCATATTTCTTCATATAGCTATTTCTTTCCTGTTTTAAATTATAGGAAGACCTCAGTTGCACATATGAACACTATTCGAGTCACAAAAACAGGCATTTTATGTAGAACCATTGTCCCTTCAACAAACTATCTTGATAGTTTACAAACACAAAGAATTTATTGTCTCTTAGGGATTCTAACCTCTATTGGTGAGGGGCTAGTGATTTGAAAACAGTGATGTAATCCCCCTAGCTGTGAAGGTTCCCAATAAAAATTAATATTTTATTTGCAGGGAGGTAAGCAATCTCAAACAGCAGGTTAAAAGTCTTGAGACTGAAATAGTGAGGTTACGAGATCACGTGCAACATCGTGACGAGGAGCAGAAAGAAGAAATGGAGTATCTACAAACTAAACTTGGCCGTAAAGATAGGGACTTACAGGTAATTTACTCAGAGAAGGAACTTCTTAAGAGGGAAATTTGGCGATGATGTGTTTATAGAACTTGTCTGAATTTTTTGCTGTCTAGATACTGGTACACTATGAAATCTTCATTTACAATTTACTTTGTGCATGGTTGACTTACTTCATGTATTTGTAAAGATTAACAGTAACAAGTTTATAGTAAATGAAAAGATTTCTACCCTTAGTTCACTATAGTGGTCTTATTCTCAAATTTGGCCATGTAGGCTTGAACACATTGAAAATTGGCATCAGTACTGCTTCATATTGAAAATGTAAATCATTTAAACACACATGAAAGTAATGTTAGTTTGCTAACCTTTTCTCGGTTTAATTTTTAGCTTCACTTTTGCAAGAATAGAATGAGCTATTGTACTCTCCCCTGTGTCAGCGTCACACTTAGCTTATGTTTTAGTGTGCAAGTTAGCATCTCCAAAACTACTGAGGGGAATGCTACTTCACATACTTGTAACTTATTTCAGAGCATAATAGGAGGTCACTCTCCAAACACCTTATCTAGAACATGGATTTTAACTGAATTATGGCCCCTTTTTGATCTCAGAAAAGGATACATTATTCAGGCTCTTGTTTTACTACCGAGCACAGAGTGTAGTCAAGCACACTGTCCTACCCACAGCTCTTGTTAAAAAAGTTGCAAAACAGCTTAAGGCACATGTTTCATATTTGATAGATATTCTCAGTTTAACTAAAAGTTTGTATTTATTGATTTCTAAGGAGAACAGAATCTCTAAAAAATTCAATTAAAAGCAATTTAAGTTAGGAATCATTATCCTTATCATTAAAGGGACTCCACTGAGGTTATTTGACATGATGGGACTGAAAATATTTTTTCCAGATAATTGTACCATTTGATGTAGGTTTAGACCACTAATCTTTGTGCAAAATTTCAGATCATTTGCGCACACCGTTTTTCCAGAATAATTATTCAAATTGTAAAAAACTGACCCAAACTGAAAAGCGTTTAAACGCTTTTCACTCAAATTAGGCTAAGAGAAGCATAAAAATACGATTTTCAATTTATTTCAAAGTATATTTCTTAACTATCTTTGCATATATTACTGTTTAAAGTGCCCCAGCTCATTTATGAAAGAAATTCAAATGTTATGTTTTTAAACCTCAGTGGAGTCGCTTTAATTAAACTCACTATTGAGCGGTGCTAAAGAATGGTGTCAGATCATCTCTAACGCTTGTGCCGATATTAAATCATCTAAGGTCACATGTGACATATATTCATTAGTAAAGCTTAAATGCTGCCATGTGAATTTAAGTGCATCATTGTGTCTTTAAACTTATGCCTCCCTCTTCTTTCCTCAATCTAAATAAGTTAAAAGTTATATTATGATGTTCATTTAATCAACCGGCTATGGGCACATCAAAAATGAATGATTATTATGATTTAAATGCATTCAAGTGTTTTTAAGCATGTGCATTTTTGATGTATTTATTGTATGTATTTTATTGTAAATGTTGTATGTAACATTTTGCATTTTTTTCCTCAAATCGCATGCAGCGTCTATCGTTCATGATTAAAGAGCGAACAAGTGTCGAGGGCGTGGAGGCCCTCGAACGAGAACGTTTCAAGGTTTGTGCATCCGAGGACTAATTAGTGGTGGCGGTAAATTATTGGGTGATGGGATACATAGTGCTGAATTGTAATTTTTGATAGATTTTGGAAAATACATGCTCACTAACATGTTATGATGTGCTTCTTTAGAACAGGATTTGCTTAACTAACTCTGTAAATATTCTTCCTGCTTTTGAACACAATTTCTGTAACCCTAATTAAGTCCTTGCCTAAGAACACATATTTGCGTTTCTAACACACTCAGTATAACAACTTTCGTACCATATCACATGATTAGGTCTTGGTCTGCTTGATTATATAAATACGGAGATTTTATCCTGCTACTGTCTATTTCATCAGCTGGATAAAGCCCTGCCGGATAAACTTATCTATCTCCAGTCATTACCTCATATGATGACGTCACATGGTTAGCAGCAAAACAAAACTACATACCGGGAAAAGGAGAAATTAAACCATTCAATTAATTTAAAAGCATGATTAAAAGCAGGATAAATCAAATACATGGTTGATGTCGGGATGGAGAAGATACACTTTCTTGCTCACCTGATAAACCTTCTACATCCCAACATCGACTATGTATTCTCTATTTATTTCCAGTGTCTATTCTAGGATTAAAAAAACTACAAAAGTGAGAATTTATTACACTTGTTGATCTTTTTCTGTCTTTCTCTATATATAATTTCCCCTGTTCCTTTGAAAAAAATAGAGGGGAATTCTCAAAAATATGAGTATATCCCCCAATCCCCCCTCCTAGAATAGACACTGTTATCTCCCTTTATCTGTAGAACTGGCTGGTCAGGTGGGAGTCTACTATTACTGGGTGGGGTAGTGAATGTGTGTAAATAATGTGATGCTTCAGTGAAGGGGGCTCTTGACAAAAGTAAGTTTTGGTGGTGGGCCCTCTGCTTCAAGTAGACTGTATTACCTTCATATACCTGAAAGAGGATTCTTGACAAAGTGGTTAAAGTCGCTTACCAGTCGCTTAAATTGCTTGCCAGTCATATTTGTGAGTTGAAATTCCATCAAAGGGCTTTAGAGTGTTCCATGTATTGAAGCTATCCAGCTAGCCAGCTTACAGAGAATTGGTGGCTATATTTGTGTGCCCCCAATGCCTGAAATAGTGCTACCATTAAAACTATAAAGTAGCTGAATAGCCTTAACAGTGGCAGAGTGGTTGAGGCTGAGGACTTCATATCATTTGCCTCTCACCACTGTGGGTTCCAGTCACATGAGCATCTTCGGATTTTAGTTGTGAGAAAGGTATCCAGCTTGATTAAGGATTGTCAGTGGTTCTACTTGGGTGCCCATTTGTGCCTGAAATAATGTACAGAGGGGCACCTGAGGTCTTCTTCCACAAGTAAAGCTGGAAAGTTGCTATGTGACCTATACTGTGTTGGTACAATGTAAAACCTGACCAAAAAGAAAAAAAAAGAAGTCAACATCATTATTTAAAAAAAAATATTTTGAATGGTAGCTATTGAGTGGTATTTATTTTATTCATTCTCCCATTCTTTTCTTGTGCTTTTTAGCTTTGTGCAACTAGAATTAGCTGGTAATGGGTGCTATTTGTTATAGTAGTTAGAAATTTAACCCTGATTTTGCTGGTGGCAATTTATTTATCAATACAACTAGTGTTTCCAAGTATCAGCCGGCACATCTTTGATAAGGCAGCATACTATCTGATTATGGTCTTAACTGTTTGCTATTTAGTTGGTATATATTTTGAAATCTTCCCTAAAAATGATGAATGGTTTTATCTAGATTGAAAGATGGACAAGTTCATTTAAGATATTAAGAAGGGTTAGGGTTAATTGACTACATTAAAATAGTAGATAAAAACAGAATTTATTTGCAGATTAGTTAACGACTAATAACTATACCACATTAATATATTATGGTGCCAATTGTTTTGCATTGCTTGTAACTTCACTTTGTATTTTTATAAGAGTAACCTTCTAACAATTTTATATTTGAGTTTAAAAGTTGTATGAAAGCAAGACTTCTCTATTAAATATGTTTGTTGTCAATCTGGGCAGAACTTGTATTTTTGAATTACTTAGATATTCATAAAATTACAGGGATTTTTCTATGTTTATGCCCCTCAAAAATTTCTTTTTCAGTTATCTTTTCTTAATATTTTTCAAAAGATGTCATTAGACAAACATTTATCAGATATTTCTGTTTTAATTTCTTGAATAAAAAATAGATATAAAATACTTAATGTCAGCTTAGAATAAAGTTCTGTTTCTTGTCATCCACACCTTTGTTGGGGAGGGGGAGGGGTATAGTTTGCTAGGAATTTATTTTTCATATATATGATGTTATGAAGGAAAGATTATAAAAAAAGCGGAAAGTGAAAACTATATTAAGAGCCAGCATTTAAAATTCAAAACAGAAAATAATGTTTAGTTGGCCTTATTTTACAACACTTTTTTTTAAAAGTTGATAAGTGTTGAAGGAGCCTTTCCCTTAAAATTTGGGGAAAGTAACAGTACATGTACTTTTGTTTAAGGGGAAGAAAAAAATTGTAATTGAATTTTAAGGGAAAACTGCATGAATTAAAAAAAAAATTCTGACAGGAAGCATACCTTTAATGGCTCCACTAAAGAATGAAAAAGAGCCCTGTTGTATGGAATCTAAAATAAAATTTATCAATTTGGGTACTATATTTATTTTCTTGTAGGATGAAGTTGATGATACAAAGAGAGGTATGGAGAAGTTACAGAAAAACCTGGAGAAGAAGATACAAGAACTGGACAAGAAAAATGATATGATTGCTGTAAGTGGTTTATATACTAATACAGTCAAACCTGTCTGTTTATAGTGATTTATTTACTTGTCAATACAGAGATATTATAAATTATATTTTTTATTTTTTTAATAAAAATCATGGTTGCCATAACAGTGGAATTGGTGTGCAGATTTTTTACACTTTTGTAGGAAGGTTTTATAATTTAATTAGGAATTTATATATATGACTTTGGGAGAGGAACTGGGTCGAATTTCAGCAAATTTTTTTATAAAAAATACATTGTGAAATGATGGGCCTGGAAGTATGTCATCTCTCCTCTTAAATATTTGAATAAATTGCTGACTGTACAAAATTTGCAATCTGTCTCATTGTTTAGATGTGTGAATGTGATTTTCTTTATTTGAAAATTTGATGTTTAAAGTTAAGGCCATTTAGGGGGGGGCATGGTATTATTTTTATACTATATTGCCATTAGAATGATGCAAAATTCCCCTACCTGTGAGCGCCTGGCCCCAGTATCCTATCAGGTAATTAAGGAGGGGCCTGACCTCAGGGGTTGATGATTAATGTTGTTTTGGGGTCATTACCATGACAACACCAGCACTGGGTAGTTCCAGGAAATAAGAGTATAGAGTAGTTCTTAAGTTTTAAGCATAATTAAAAAATGAACATAAATAATATGCTTAAAAAAAATATATATTGTATATTTTATTATTTTGTATAACCTAATTTTACAGAAATTGGAGGATTTATTGAGGTCAAAGGAGAAATCGCTGCAGAACATACAGAAACAATTTGATGAACAGACAGTAAAATATAAACGTAGTAAGGAAATCATTGCAGAATTCAGCAAAGGTTCCCATGTTAAAGATGCTGAGGTAAATCTATTATGACTTTAAATTGATTTTTGATATGTTTTTAAGAGCAATCATAGGAAAGAAGTTATATGTTATAAATTTTCAACATTTAGTTTGAACTGTCAGTTTTGATATTTAAGAGAAAAAAAAAGACAGAATATAAATAAAGATTTTTTTATAAGTTCATTTCTAATTTTGTTGAATTTTCCACATGCATTATTGTTTTTCCAAAAGTTGATGATTTTGGGGAAAACCCAGCTTTTAAAGTTTCAGTTTAAAGGGGTTTTAAAAAGGGAAAAAATTTACAGAAATTGAAAGAAAAAATGGGGCCCTTAAAGGTTAAAATGGGGGCCCAAATTTTGGTTGACAAAATAAAAACCAATTTTTTGCTTTGCAAATTTATTAATGTGTTGTGGGAGTTACCCCCTTTAAAAATTAAAGCTTGCCCTGGGAAGTGTAATTAAGGTAGAAAAAAAAATTAAGGGCATTCATGTAAATGAACAAGTTTTTTTTTTTATTTATTTTAAAAAAAATGTTGTTTTTTTGTGAAAGCAAAATTTGGGTTAAAAAAAAATTTATAAAATTGGGGTTTAAATTTTTGAAAAAAAAGAAAAAAAAAATGTTAAAAAATCATTTTGCAGCATTTTTGGGAATATGAAGAAATCTTTTAGGTACCTTGCCCCCTGTTGGAAATCCCAGTTATTTCGAAATAAGTAAAATTATTTTTTCATGAAAATCCCACTTTTTAAAAAAGGGGAAGTTTGATCAGAAATTATGCTTTTTTCATTTTTTTAACTTTGATTGAAACTTGTAATTTTTTTAAAATTTAATCAAAAACCCCAAAAATTTTCATTGGCCCCAATTTAAAATAAATCTTAAAACGGGCCAGTCGGGGTTTTCCAATTTTAACTAAAAAAATTTTTAATATAAATGTATAATTTTATATTTTAATAAAATTATTTTTAGCCCCCCTCCCGGTTTTACCGGGGGGGAAATTAGGTTTCCCCTCTGTCCGTCCGTCTGTCCTGTCAGTCCGTCAGTCAGTCCGTCCGTCCACAAAACTGGATCCCGCGATAACTTGAAAAGTACTGAAAATATTTTTTATGAAACTTGGGTATATGAATAGATGGCAGTATGGAGATTATGCACGTTTTTTTCTTTTCTTCCTATGTTTGAAAATTCTGGTTGCTATGGCAACAAATAGGCTAAAAATATGGCAAATTTTACACATAAACTGGATCAGTGATAACGCAAAAAGTACTGGAAATATTTTTATGAAACTTGACATATGGGTAGATGGTAGTCTTGGAATTATGCACGTCTTTTTTTTTCTTCCTATGTTGAAAATTCTGGTTGCTATGGCAACAAATAGGCTGAAAATATGGCAAATTTTACACATAAACTGGATCCAGTGATAAAGCAAAAAGTACTGGAAATATTTTTATGAAACTTGATATATGGATAGATAGCAGTGTTGAGATTATGCAAGTCTTTTTTTTTCTTCCTATGTTGAAAATTCTGGTTGCTATGGCAACACATAGACTGAAAATATGGCAAATTTTACACATACACTGAATCCAGTGATAACTCAAAAAGTACTGGAAATATTTTTATGAAACTTGACATATGGGTAGATAGCAGTGTTGAGATTATGCATGTTTTATCTGTTCTTCCTATTTTGAAAAAAATATCAGTTGCCTTGGCAACAAATAGGCTGAAAACATGGCAAATATAACAATTTTGTGATTAGTCAAAAAGAGCTGAAAATTTTTATGAAATTGATCTTTAATTCAAGAGTTATCTCCTCTTTAAGAGTTTTGCTTTTAAAATGTTATATTTTGGTAACAGGGATGTTTCAAATATTAACTTTAGAGTGTCCTTCAGTCTGTCTGTCTGTCTGTTCATAAAAACTGTTTCCTGTGATCACTTTTTAAGAACTTTTCCAACAAGTTTACTTAAAATAGAGAAAAATTGAAACATAAGTGAATGGCCAATGGCCCTTCAGAATGTTGATGGTGTTCTAACCGGTAGGGGACTTATGGATTGCTTGCAATACTATGATAATTGCTTGTTTTTTTTGTGTTTGTTGAGAGCATGTTAAGAGCATATGAAAAACTGAGATATTTTTGCATGTTTTATTTAGAGGAGCTTCTCCCCAGGCCGAATTCAGCTAAGTTTTAAAGAGGTTTGAAATATGTATTGTATTACAATAAAGTTGTGATATTACATAATGTTTCAGTTATTATTGTGTTCTGTTTCTATGGCTGGTTATTTCTGTTGTGATCCGTATCGGATCCGTATCGGTAGTCTTTGAATCATCTTACAATGGTAAATGCCTCCTTGAATTTTTTTTGTCTAGGATATTTTCAGAATATATATGCCGTCCCTCTCACTTTTCTCATAACACATACAGTTCTTGATTGATATTTTTGATGTTTGGTAATCCATGCGAGGCTGATTCGATCCTCAGACTAAGCAAAAAAATTCCTCAATGACAATAAATCTCGGACATTGAGTATAACAGTCAGTTGTCCCTCATGGCTGATTCAGTAAATCATGTGGCGTTAATAAACGGCCACTTGAGGTGAATTTGGTAACTACAGGTTAGCTTTCCTGGAAAACCAGTCAGGTGGGGGGGGGACTGCTGATATATGACTGAAAATAAGTTAAAAACTGACATAAAAACCAAACAAAAAGAACATAAGATATTTGTTTGTACTTTTCATTGGCATAAACTCTTGGGAAGAGGTTAAACATGACTTTGGCCAAGCCCACTATTGGCTTAAGTAATAGATAATGGGCCATCTGATGTTTGTCTTGGCAAGTTAAAATAACGGAAGTTGACCTTAACTGTGCTTAAATGAAAAAAAAAACAACAACAAAAACAATGGTATATCTAAAAAAGTTTTTTTTTTTACAATAACAGAAATAACCAGCTGATGCATTGTGATTTTGTTTTCTGTTGTTTGAAATGTTTGCATGTATTTGATGTGTTGTTTGAAAATTTGTTGTTTTGTTTTTACCCAATCAGGATGCTGAGAAGATTCGTGATTTAGAAGAGCAACTAGAGGTAATCTTCTTGTATATTTTCCTTACTGTACATAGATAGGATAATTTCCATGTTAACAGTCCCTGAATATTACCTCACTGTTCACAGATTGGATTTTTTTTCTATTTCAATGGTCCAGAGTTATTACCTCACTGTACAAAGATTGGAATTTTTTTTCACTTTTCCTGATATTTTCCTTATCCAAAAAGAAAAGCATGATCAAGACCATCTGGTTTTTAAACACTTTTGAGTTGGAAAAATATAGGGGATGCTAAGGTGGATTGTAATCCTAAAAGTTACGTCTACCTTCAAGTTATGAATAGATGGAAACAATGTAAAATCCATATTTAAGCAAGCAATTCATTGTATTCCTCAAAACATTAAACATTTTCAGTTTGTAACTGCTATACTGGTGTGTATTCTTAGAATTTTACCTTTACTGTCCTTCTGAAAACAGGTGAACCTTTTGCGAAAGACCCCCTTTAACTAAACACCACATATGTAGAAAAACCTGTCTAATGGCCATTGTTCTATTTTGGCTTTCAAATAATTGCAGCAAAACAACCTGCTTATATGACCACCTGTCATCAAAGACCACTGTTATTATTTTGGCATTTGAACAACAATGATTAAATAAAATTAAACTTGTTTTTTATTGACCACCTGTCAACTAGAGCCATATTTTCCAAGACTTGTACATGCTCAAAGGTTTAACTGTACATACAGTGGCATGTTGTATTATAAAGTTTTTGTGTTATAAAATTATATTGGCTTTCATTGACAATAAGTACGGAAGAGAAGTTTAAAGTGTTGGATGAAGCCATATACAGTATAATACCGCAGTTTGTATGTCAACACTTCAGTTTATTATATTTGTTTGTATTTATAGTAATAAAGAAGCTGATAAAAAATCTACAGTTTTAATAGCACATGATTCCATACTTGAATCTTGATCATTTTGAGTTGTGTATAATGTGGACTTGCCCTGCTTTGAATTAGGGGTTGTCCATTGTTTATTCAAGGGATTTCAGTATCAAAATATTAAAATAAGGATTTGGAGACTTTGGGTGTTGGGTAGGGGTATGTCAGGGGTGCAAATACGGAATCTGGGCAGATTGCATTACGATTTAGGTGTCTGGAACCAGTATATTGGGTCAGCTTGCCCATCATTGCAGTCTGATTTAAATGATAACTTTTTGGTATGTTACATTACATTATAATAATATGAAATTAGGTGCTACCTATGGCGCGAAAAGGTATTATGATTTATGATTTAAGCATAAGATGTTTAGTGTACATGTTAACGGTATAAACCAAATCTATCATGATATTCGTTAATAAGTAAATGCAGGTATTTTGCACCGTAAACAGAAACTTAAGTTGGTGGTGTTCAACCTATCATCGGAAAAGGGACCACTGCGCATGCGTCTGCGTTTGGAAAATCCCGTCCGCCATTTTCTGTTAATCTCTAATCACATGACATGTGTTGTTTACGTTATTTTAATGTGCTAATTTATCAAAAAGGTTTTTACATTTATCATCGTTACTATAGTTCTTTTGAATGAAATGAATGTTTTATTTTCTGATTTTGTACATCATTCTTTCACCGGAAGTGTTATTAAGCATGCGTCTGCTAGCAATAGTCTGAATTATGTAGACGCTCATTAAAAGCGCTGTGATATATATATTTAGCTCAAAAGGATTTCAAAATGGCGGCGCCCAGTTAACTAGGGATTTTTTTACAGCTCATTAGGTATAGGATATATATTTTTTTGAAATTTTCATTCACTTTTAATTTGATTTCATTTGAATTGATACGCATCATACATGTTATCTCAAAGCGCTACAGCCCTCGCAGGGCCTTTGGCCCTGCTCAGACTTTCCGCGTATTATCATAACATTTCAATGATAACTCGACAACTCTTTGCTGTCTGATTATCACTTACCAGTATGTCAGTAATTTTTTTATTGTAATTTTTAACCTTCAATGATGAATGGTTTTGTCCGGTTTTAAAGATGGACAATTCCATTTTATAGATTTAGCATGGTAAGGTTCAACACATAGAACAAAGAAACTGGTCAAAATTTCAAACAGGACAAACCAATTGAACAAATTATGCTAGGCAAAAAGGTAAATATTGGTAGTAGTATATTGACAAGGGTTGAGGTGAATAGAGTTTTGCCAATGTCTATCCTTCTGGCCATCTGTAGTCTGACTAAAACAGTAGAATGTGGGGACACCTTTGTCATATGGACATGTGGGGACATCTTTTTCATATGAAAATGTCTGGATATCTTTTTCATATGAAAATGTGGGGATATCTTTTTCATATGGACATGTGGAGACATCTTTGTCATATGAAAATGTGGGGGCATCTTTGTCATATGGACATGTGGGGGCATCTTTGTCATATGGACATGTGGGGGCATCTTTGTCGTATCAACTTGTGGGGGCATTTTTGTCATATGGACATATTTCAAGTTTAAACTGTTTTGTTTTTTTCTTCTTTTCTATACATGTTTAAGCTTGGATTAGCCATGCAGTATCATCTTGGCTAAATTGAAATATTATTATGGCCTTAGTCCCCTATAAGGTAATTAAAGTGTACTTTTTGGTGTGGCTTCAAACAAAAGGTTAAAAAATTAACTACTGACAATTGACAAATAATCTCAGGGGAAATATGAGATAGTCAGGTTTAGTTGAGCAATAATGGCTCAAGTAGGCTTTCTTGTATTTAAGTTTTGCAGGGAATTGAGAGAGAGAGAGAGAGATATTTAGATATAAGTAGCTTAATACCACACCCACCATACTTCTCTCAGATTAATTCCTAATTAACTGACTCTATATATCCCTGTGTATATTTGTCAACTTTGCATCAAGGTGTTATACGCTGGTCAGCTTTTACTAAGTGTGGTCAGTTTAAGTATAAGTATTTATATAGATATTGACTTAGCATATCAGTTTTCGGTATTGTTAACAGGGCCTTAGGCCTGGTCAATATTTGTATTCAATTTAAACGGGTTTTCGCTTCTTCTCCTCAAAATACACTTCTAATTGCAATTAGTGAGAAATCCAAAATAAAACTTGATTATGTTGACTTAATATATAATCTCAAGTATAAATATTGGGCCTCTAGTGTTTATAGTTTGTTTGCAGGGGATTTTTGTGATAGCTCTCTTATATAGTAGATATAATACCTGTAAATGACCAACAAAGTCTTGTATATTTATTCTCCTTTATGTTAAAATATTTATATCTTTCATTGGTCAAAAATGGCTATGGTGAATTTGATACATTATATATGTATAACCGTCTTTGGTGAAAGGCTTCTTTAGTAGCTCCATATGTTATTTTAGTTATTTATTTTTCTTTAAGGAAAATTTTTTTTTTAGTTTGAAGATTTCTTAATTGATTTTTTTCTTATGGTTAAAAAAAATGGTAGTGTAGATATAAGTTAAAGTTTGGAGGGAAAATAAGTCACGAGTTTGTATTTGAAGTATAAAAGTCATCAAATTCCATGTAAAGTCATGAAAAAATTCCGTGAAAATTCATGAAACTTCAAAAAAAGTTATAAAAAAGTCATAAAATTACAAGTTGTAGGGCAGCTGTGGCTGATTGGTTTAAGTTCTTGACTTCAAACTATGAGCCCCTCACCTGACTGTGGCAGTTAGATCAGATTGGACATCTTTCTTGTGAGAAATCTATCCAGCTACCTTGCAGAATGTTGATTGTTTTTTTGGGTTGACAATTCTAGCTGAGGGACACCTGAGGTCTTCCTCCGCAAGTTAAGCTGGAAAATCTTCGTTCTTTTCCTTTGTCAGGCAAAAACCAAGGCAAAAATTTTTTAAAAAGCTAGTAAAATATAACAACATTCAGTTTTAAGATTCAAACTGTTTACAGCTAGCACTCTCATTTACTTAAAAAAAAAAAAAAATTGGGGATGTCCGAAAATTGCACTTAGGTAATATTAGTCTTTAAAAGTTAAGTTCAAATTGCAATTTTCCTCTAGACAGATTAATTCTAATTCTAATTCTAATCCATTGAGAGGTAATAAGTCCAGTTTAAATTTCACTTTTCCCATTGGAATATCTATTAATTCTCGATTAAATTCATAGTCATCGAAACATCCAAACATTTCTTAGAAAGGTTGTAAGTTCAAATCGTAATTTTCCGAGAATTCATAGATTATATCTAAATCTAATCGTTACTTATCCGACGGTTCAACTTTTTAATTAATAGAATTAAAACATAAGTGACTGTCCATAATTGTAATCAAAACAAACTTATATAAACCAGATTATGTGATTTATGTTGATAAACATAATTATACGTCATTTGCATTAACTTTATTTTGAATCAAACATATTTACATAATCTTATTACTGCTAGAAAATAACAATCTAATTCTGATTTTCGTAGAATTCGGTTTACCGGTTTACATTAGACGTATGAAAGGGGCCAACTTTACCTCACTGATTGAAGACTAATTTTAATCTCAGCGAAAGATTGTCATTCTTCTGTCAGATTAGGGGATTTATGTCAAATCAAATAGACCTGATTTTCTCTCAAGTTCAACTTCTTTTTTTTCTTTTTTTAAATTCATGGAGCATAATCTGATTATAGTCCACAAACAAATGAATAACAGGCCTTTTTCCTAGAATATATGTTGACCTGATTGAACCTAAATGGTTAAAAAGTTAAAATTAAACTTTAAGAGTTGTTTCAGCTTAACTGTTGAAGAAAGAACTAAGGTGCCCCTCCGTGCATTACTAAAATTTTTAGGCAGGTTGAGCAGGGCACCGGAGTAGAACTGCCAACCGTCTGTAAAATAGCTGTATAGGTTCTTAACATAAAAAAATCGCAAGAGTCTGTGGCGGGATTTGAACCCACAGCAATAGGTTTAATCTTGAACTTACATTTAAATATGAAACCAATAAGAAAATAATAATGAAAAATAACATAATTTTGGTGTCTATCTGATCATGGTTCTGGCAGTTTTTTTATTAAGAAAGGACCAACTTTACTTGACCTGTAATATTGAATGCAGCGTCCAATATATAGTTTATTCCTTCTTATGTTATTATGTTATAAGACACTGCTATTGTCTTCATAACCTTTTCTTTATCAAAAAAGGGGTAGGAATGTGGGGTGGGGGGATGAGGGGTTTGTGTTGTTTATTTAGGGACGTGTGTTTTAGATTTTAGAGACTATAATTTTATGTAGTTACGCTTGCACGCACAGTCACCATACGTATTGTGTTTGTTGGGGGGTTGACTTTAAACCTCATGGAAAGGAATGAAATAAAAAATAAATCACAGACAAAATGACAAATTACCACAAGACGAGTATTTATTATACATCACTGAACAACTTCACATCTCTCAAGTAGTAATCTACAGATAAAAGGTCTTGCAGTAGGTCTGTATAAATGGTACTTGAGTGCTTGTGTGTTAATGATTTATTAGATCACTTGTTATCATTGAGTGGTGGTACAAAATGTAGAATGGTGATTTTATTACAGAGTCCTCAGGGTGATAATATCAACATGTAAAGGTCTTCACTACCTTGTATGATAAATTATTCATTGAGGAATTTTTTATGGTGGTGTGAGAATGATTCATCTGTCAACAGAAATAGTTTTGATTTGAATTGGTATCAGAGAGTGGGGAGGGGGGGAGATACTGTTTTGATGTAGACCACAGAGAGGTGATTTTAAATGACATTAAGATTCATGGTGTCCTTAAACTGACGAGCTTTTAGGCTCAAGTAAAGGTAAAGTCCCTGCACAGTGTCTGTCTGTAGTGTAGAGCAAAAATCTTGTGGAATTTTGTACGGGATTCATAAGATCCCGCTCGGGATGCTGTTGGATTCAAATGGAATGTTGTGGGTATAAAAATAATCCAAATCAGAATCCCAACGAGATCCCAGGGAAAGCATTAATACATTGATATGAGCCGCGTCATGACAAAACCAACGTAATGGGTTTGCGACCAGCATAGATCCAGACCAGCCTGCGCTACCGTGCAGTCTGATCAGGATCTATGCTGTTCGCTACCAGTTTCTCTACTTGTTATAGGGTTTGTTAGCGAACAGCATGGATCCTGATCAGACTGCGCGGATGCGCAGGCTGGTCTGGATCCATGCTGGTCGCAAACGCATTATGTTAGTTTTGTCGTGACGCGGCTCATATTGCTTACCAAAGTAAGACTTCATAATGTCTTTTTTTTTAATTGCCCATGTTTCATAGTGTATTTTTATTTGCCCATGTTTTTCAAATTTCAACAGTTAAATGTTGTAATCCTTGAAGAAAAAAAGGGGAAAAAATAGGAAAGAATGTGAAACAGAAATAAATGTGAAACAAAAAATTCATTTTCACTTCACTCAATTTTTAGAATTTTAGAATAGTGTTTTGAAAAGCTTGATATTTGTGCAGGTACTAAATTGATAGGCAAACAAATCTACCTTTGATCTTAAGAAATTTTGTAGATTTAATTGGGATTGTTTTTCAGCAAATTTGTAAGTTTGGATAAAAAACACCTATGTACATTGTAAATTCATTGTCTATAATTATCATGTAACAAAAAAATGAAATAAAACAAATTATTAAAAAAAAATTAATTATAAAATATAGAGAATCCTAAAAACAAATTGAAATAAACAGAAAAGCCACACAAATTCCACCATTCAGCAATAATGTATTGCATACAGTCAATTTTATGCCTTCATCAGTGCAAAGCATAATGAAGTTCTTTTTATTTATTTTTCTTTTAAATTTAAAGATATAAAAAAAATAAATGGGGGAATATTTTTCACGATCTGTGCAGTAATTGTGTGGGTAGTGATTATAGTACATTGTGCTCTAATTCCCCCCCCCCCACCCCCTTAAATATTTATTTATTTGCTTTGATACATTTTATAATCTCCAATAAATCTTTTATTTGCTGGGCTTTTTGTAAACAATTAACTCCAACAGAGCAAATATTGGTTAGCTAATTGAGTTGACATGGGTAGCTAAGTATTAAAGTATGATTTTAAACTTATTCTATCAGAACGGTATTAAAATCAGGGAAGAAAGAAAAAAAAAATATACAGTGGAAAAAACTATTTAATTCAGTGAGATAGATAAATTTTATTGGTTGCATTTGATTGGATTAGACAGAATAAAGAGGTGGAATAGTGGTTAGTCAATATATTATATAGTGACTGATTTCTGCTGAAACAATTGTGTTTAAAAGATTGTTATATAAAATAAGCTAAGGATTAAAGTATTAAAAGTTCTATTTTAGTGGCTAAAAAGCTTATTTTTAGTATATAAGTTTAGTATAAAAAGAACAGCAAGAAACAGTTTAGCGACACAACAGAGGGCGTCAACTTATTATCAGCTTATATAAAGTGTTGAGATTGCCAAAAGTCGCCAGGAATGTCGGGGCTGTTAGGAAAAGCGTGCAAGAAAATACATGTGACAAAAAGTAATTGTATTATAGTGTGTAAGAAAGTACACATGCGAAAATTTATAATAATTTAGGATAAGCTTTTGTTGGAAATTAAAATTATTTTTTTATCAAAGAAGAACTTCTATTTTAGAGTTAAGAACAAATGTATTTTTGTATTATTTTGTATTGAATTACTCTAAAGGAAAAGAGTAGGAATTATAGATTCTTAAGAAAATATGGATCATAATTTTGACTACCTGTTGCCTACTTGTATGTTGAGAAGTAGAGCTTTAGGTAACCATGGAAACAAGACTCATCAAGAAAATCATCTTTTTAATATTGATACTGATAATGTTTTTAACGACACTCTGAAAGTACTAGAGTCTGACACATGTTCCGAGATATCTGACAAGTCTTACGCAGAAGCCAGTTATTATACGCGCATGAAAGTTTATAAATCACCGTATTTGGAGAAACAATTCTGGGCCGATAATGAAGACTATAAAGCACCTTGGGAGCGAAATCAAGGCTCTCAGTTCGATAGAAGCTTGCAGCAGTTTCTAGAGTGGCCAGAAAATTGTAGCGAAAGTGACGAAGAAGACGTGTTTACTTCGAACTTTAATGATACAGTGCGGCTGAAGCATAGGCCTGTTGAAAGAAAAAGACGTTCATCAAAAAGCCGTATGGTGAATCAAAAAAGGATGGTTATTCCGAAACTTGCGGTTAATTCAGATACGGTGCATTCGTCGGATAGTGATAACAGTATAGATGATGTTGGAATGCATTTACTTCATCTGAAATCAGTACACCGTTTGAATAACAAACATATTGAAAATGTTATTGAACGCAAAGTGCCAAAATGCAACAAGTCAGTAGATTCCGATTCAGACTACCGGACTTGTTCTGACACCAGCAGCTGCGATAAAATTGATCTTACTTTCTCTGCACATGATGTTTATAATGAATCTGATTTCAAATCGTTAAAATATTTAACTGCTTCTATAGTGCACAAATCAGATGATATATTTGTCAGACTGTCACAGAGTACAATTTTAAATGAGTTTAATCATAAAACAACAAAGGGAGTTAATAAAAAATCAAGGACAGGGGTGGTAACTCATGAAAATACAGTAAGTTCTTTACTCTTGAATGTTAGTTTTAGTATAGTTTATAAAAACAATAAACATTTGAGCTGTTTAATGGTAACGTTATCTCCGGCTTCTTTGTTGCAGTAGTTGATTCCTTTTATAGTGGGAAATTTTAGTGTGTAGGCAAGTCCATACGAAAATAAGATAAATTTAATAAATGTATAAAAAAAAATCTACTTTTCTAAAATGAAAATAAGCATTTGTAAAAGTATTATTGTAAAAAGCATTATATTTCTAAAAGTTGAATAGGTTAGGGAAGATCTTATAATCATATCGTAAATTTTCGGCACATAGTAGTTTTTTTAGATTGAGAAAAAGCAAATATTTTGCCACAGTGAGTATAATTATGCAAAGGTGTCGTAAAAATTTAAAATCTGGAATATTAAATTAATTATTTTCTAATAGAAATCGGGGTTCATGATGGAAATACAACCCCACAAATTTTTTTTTTTCTTATTTTGTTTATTATTTAAATTTATTGTATTGACTTAGAATATGCTGAGAAACAATTAAGAGAATATTTGTCTGGGCAGTACTAAATTAAAAAAAAAAAAAAAAACAACAACAAAGGAACTGGGATTATATCTGGAAACAAGTCATTGATTATGCATATTTGTAAAATTTAAAGTTGAAACTTCTGTAATTTATATTTACACCACAATGATATAATAAAAAAACAACAACAATTTTTAGTTTATTTTGTTTTTCCTTTTTTTTATGTTTTCAATTTGGTTAGTTATCATTTCTTTTGAAGATGATATTAAACAATTTTGAAAAAAAAAATAATTTTTTTTGATAACTATTACATCAACTTTTTTTTTTTTAAAAATGGTATTTTACTAACATATTGACACCATTTTCTTTTCAGATTTTTTTTTTTAATTTTGAAATTTTTTATTTCACCTTTATTCCAATAAATTTTCCATTCTAACTGTCTATCAAAGTGTATGGTAGACTTGAACATGTAGGATTCAGTTGACCTTCAATCTAATTTTGACATTGCTAGTCTTGAGTTAAAATATCAGCTTCAAACACTGATCTTAGTTGTGCTAAAATAAATATCTTTAATCTAATTTTATGAATGTAAAAAAAAATTGTTCTTAATTTGTTCCACACAGAAAAAAAAAATTTGTTCCACAGTAAAAATAGATCTATAATTTGTTCCACAGAAAAAATAGCTTAGCCTCCAATACATGAAAAGAGTCATTAAATACATGGGCCAACACATTAACAACCCTCCTATTTTCAGAACTGTGCAGTTCAAATATATGGGAAACAGAAATAGGGTTCAGGAAAAAGTCACGTTGCTTGTGTGCATTGTTTGAATGGAGAAGATTCATGCTTTTGTTTTATTACATATTTTGAAGAAAAAAATCAGATTTTATAAAAAAAAACAATTAAGCCATGATTAGCAAGCATTCCAAGTTTCATATTGATATCTCTATATTTTGTTTGTTTCAGAAACTTGTGAGGACATTAGGGAAAAAGGAAGGCGAGTTGGAAAACTTTAGAGATCTTCTTGAGAAAGCCCAGAACTCCCTTACCAAAAGTCAAGAAGTTGTTGAGGTAAGGTTTTTGTTTGTTTGTTCATTTGTTTGTTTGTTTAAAATGCCAGGGTTTCAATTTTTAAGTGGAATAAAGCAAATGTGTGGGAAATTCTTATCGTAATTACGAAGTCTTAAGTGTCTGTTTAATGTATAAAAAAATCCAGAAGTTTGAATTTTTTAAGGCACATTGTGATTTTTTTATTCCATTAATGGAACTGCACTGAGGTTTTTTGACATCACCTGACTCAAAATAATTTTCTGAGATGCCATTTGATAAATATCTAGATAAATAAATTTTGTGCAAAATTTCAGATCTTTCACTTTGTTTGTCCACAATAAATGTTCTCCAGAATAGTTTTTGTAATTGAATGTGAAAAATTGAAAAGCTTTTAAACGCTTTTTTCTCCAATCGACTATCAGTAGCACTAAGATACGATTTCTGTTTTATATGTTTAAGTATATTTCTTAATAATCTTTTGCAATATCTCTCTGTTTTAAATGCCCCCATTCATATACGTAAGAAATTTAAATTTTATGTATTTCAGTGGAGTGCCTTTAATGTATAAGATAATCAGTCACGATTAATCTACTATCTGTTAAACCTGATTTGATTAATCATGCTGATACTTGCGGAATTTTTATTTCAATTGTTATCATAATAATAGTGGAAACTCGACTTTAATGTCACGTATGACAGTCGAAACCATTATATTCTTTTTATTTGTTATATCTTAGACGAAAATTGACTTAAATCTGCGGTACAACATTCGAAACCATTATTACAAATGATTTTACAAAATTTTATGAATGAATTGTGGGATTGATTACCACACAGTTTTGTGTCAGACTGATGTGTGTTATAAGTTCGGTCGTTACAGCGTGTCGTATGGCAATATTGTATAGATTTTTGACAAGGTTAACGGTTACCTGTTTAAAGGTCATGCTCTTTCGGCAGCTACCCAAAATACTTAACATTATCTAAGCATGATACAGAATAGAAATATAAGATGCATCTTTTTTACGCCTACTGACATGAAATATTGTCAATGGACATTGTCTTTAAAATTTTGAAACTTTTTATCTATTCAAGATTTAGGAAGCTAAGGATAGGGCATAAAAGATAAAAATCAAGATTTGACTTAAACATTAAAGGCACGTAATGCCTCAGAAACTAATAAATTTTATGTGTTTAGAAACGGCAAATATGAATTTTTATATTATTTAAATAATGGTTTTAGTTATAAGGCATAATAAATGACATAACTTCAAAAATATAGCTTTCAGGATGACTTTCCTTGTCATATTACTATGCCTTGTTATAATAAGCAGGCATTACAAGTTTCATATTGATACCTTAAAAATTGTTTGAGTGATGGGCCACATATAAGTTTTTCCTTTAAGATTGTTTGAGTAATGGGCTACATGAAAGTTTTTCCTTAAAAATGGTTTGAGTAATGGACTACATTAAAGTTTTAGCACGACAATGGTGGCCTTTTTCTTCAAAACAGACAAGCTTATAATACAAATTTTATGACTAAACAATGCCTGTAACACATTTGAAACAATGTATAATATATAATTTTGTATGTTCCGCTGCGCTTTTTCAGGATCTGGAAGAGCGGTTACAGGCAGAGAGGTGTAAGTGTAAAGAAAGGGCCGGACAGAAGGTACGTTATTATATTTTAAAACAGACTTGCTCCAAACATAATTTTATAATGCTGCAAACCCTCCCGACATTTAGTGTTTGATACTTGTTGTATCCCTTGATTCAAGTGAAAATAAAATTGATATTTTTTTCATTAATGGGAGAAACAGCTTTTAGAATATTGTGCTTACTTAACATATCAGCCAGTACTTACTGTTGCTCAAATTGTCTTTATTACATACAAAACAATTCCAACAAATGAAAATTTTTCATAATCTATGAAGAATTGGAGAAAAATATTTCATTGCAAAAATGTTGAAACTCTGATTCTGAATGTTTCCTTGAGTGGAGTGATTGTTTTTGGTTCATGGTTGTGCAATATCAAAATGATAAATATAGCATGTCTATTTGTAATATAACTTTCATGTACAGTAACAGAGAGAAAAAAAAAATAAAAAATTAGTTTTGCACTTAAATGCTTAATTCAATATAGTTAGAACTGCAAAATTTCATATATTTTTTAACGTTTTATGATAACTTAATCGATAAAACGGATACAATGTATCACAAATGCATTGCTTATTTCGGGCAGCTGACTTTAGTGCTCTAGAGGTAAATTTAACGGTTAGTTACATGCTGTTTGTGCCACTTTTTAAAAAAAAAAATAAAAAAATTTCACATTTCATAACGTTAAGCTGTCTAAGTACGTATTTAAGTCGTCAAAATTCGAACATTGGGGTCACTGTACATACTAGTACTACACTAGCACAATTTTCAGCCAAACAGTTTGGTCTTTTTGCACTGAGTATAAGAATTGTTTGCGTGAGGCCTTTTTTAATCGTACAAGGTTTTATTTATTCTTTAATATGTTGTTTTTTTAAGAGTGCTTGTCTCTGATTTTACACACATGGTTGGCAGTGCCGAATAATTAATTCGTAAATCAGTTTGTTAAAACACGGGCGCCTGAAATTGCAATTATACTCGGCTAATTGTACTTGACGTGAGCTGTCAATTGACGGATTATTTTGCGATTGAACATAAAAGCGTATTATAGTTTAGCTTCCATTATTTACAGGTTTAGTGAAGGGATTAAGTTAATCTCTCTGAAGTTAGCTGTTGATAATGGCCGTAAGCTGATTTACTACAGTGACATACTTGTTCCTTTTGAGGGATTATAACAAGTGCTTTTTTTTTTTTTTGGAGAAATCAAAATGTTTTGGAAGTTCAAGTTCAAAAATCTGGTTTTGTATCATGAAAGAAAGTAAAATAATCGACCCCCAAGACACTTTAAGCCTACCTGCAACACTGTTAATAAAAAACTGTTTGTGATTTGGAACGAAAATGGTCTTAATAGTGAGGTGGTCTTTATTTCTAATTGTCTCTTAATTAAAGGTTAGCATCAAGAAGGTAGTATATGGGATAGTGCAGGCTTGTGATAATAAAGTGATATTATTTTATTCAAATTTAAAATGCGGTATAATTGGGAGCAATCCGGAAACTTAGTTCTTAATTGAACATTTACCATTACTATTATTGATACTGTCTGAATAATGGTATACATTTAAAATAGTTTATAGGTCCAGAGAAAGTATTAGTAGTATTAAAAGAGCAGTGGTCTCAATTTTGGATAGAATGACCGTTGAAATAAGAAGGAAATTTTTTAGTTCTTTTGAATATAAATCGTAATATTTGATTGATGATTGATTGATGATTGATTGATTGATTGTGAAAACTGGGTGATCATTAGGCTGTTTTCTTCTGTATAATGATATAACTTCATAAAATACTTTCTATTAATTAAAGTGAATTGGTCTATTTTGGTTAATAAATACTTTCTATTAAAGTGAATTGGTCTATTATGAAAATACAATTGAATGATTAAATAGTATTTTTGTATTTCATATACATGGTAGTTGTTTACAAGTGTGAGATACATGATCTGATATTACATATATTTATATAGCAAAAAATTAAGTTTACTAGAACTAAATATTATTATTCATCACATAAATGTTCATTCGACATCCCTTAAGAAATTTATCAACATTTTTTTTTTCAAGCAGAATGTTATAAGAAAATCAAATTTATACTGTACATTTCTATTGTTTCAATCAATATTTGAAATACTAATGAAACATGTGTCCATTGTAGACCTATCCACTTTTAAAACATTGGTCTGTGTCTTGCTGAAAGAGCTAAGTAACTGAATTATTTAAAGATTTTTGTAAAGTATGAAAAATTACCCAATTACTGCTGTCAACTGTCTGCTCTAACAGACCTCTGCCTCATTTGAAATTTTTATAATCTGTAGAAATTAGCAGCCACTTTTTTTTTATCTGATATGTCATATAACTGGTGGTATGTAATAGAGCTACTTAGTGTACACACTCCTTTATGATGCTCTTTGTCCGTCTGCAGATGTTTGTATACCCGTGTGTTTATATGTCTACAGACATCTAGTCTTTTTAAATAAAGTTTTTTGTGGGTTTTTTTAGATAAAAAGGTATTGGAGTTTGAAAAGCCACATAGAACAATTAAGATTCTTTAAAGAGTTTGTTGAAGCCACTTGCACCAATCAAATATCTTGTTACATGGTGTCATACAGCCTCTTGCACCAATCAAATATCTTGTTACATGGTGTCATACTGCCTCTTGCACCAATCAACAATCTTGTTACATGGTGTCATACTGCCTCTTGCACCAATCAAAAATCTTGTTACATGGTGTCATACTGCCTCTTGCACCAATCAAAAATCTTGTTACATGGTGTCATACTGCCTCTTGCACCAATCAAAAGTCTTGTTACATGGTGTCATACTGCCTCTTGCACCAATCAAAAATCTTGTTACATGGTGTCATACTGCCTCTTGCACCAATCAAAAATCTTGTTACATGGTGTCATACTGCCTCTTGCACCAATCAAAAATCTTGTTACATCAGGTGTCATACTGCCTCTTGCACCAATCAAAAATCTTGTTACATCAGGTGTCATACTGCCTCTTGCACCAATCAAAAATCTTGTTACATCAGGTGTCATACTGCCTCTTGCACCAATCAAAAATCTTGTTACATGGTGTCACACTGCCTCTTGCACTAATCAAAAATCTTGTTACATGTGTCATAATATTTGTTTAAAAACTGGCAGAAGTGCACTTTATAACTTTAATTGGATGCCGTAATTGCGTTTTATTTGCTTTTAATCTCCTTAACATACTTTCTTAGAATAAATGTTAATCTACTTGAGAAAGGTCTTGAGGTTTTCTGTGAAGGTTTAAAGAATTAATCCCGTGTTCACAATAATGTTAACATGTTTTGTTTGATTTTATTTAGGAAAATTTGGAGGGCTTTCTCCTTTGAACAGATTGAGTGGGATTTTAAACTGCTTCAAATTGCAATCTGCCATGTAACTTTATATCTTTGTAGTAATAATCTGATGTAGTCAAGTTTCAAAAAAAAAAAAAGATCTTTTGTCATTCTTTTATGCAAATGATGAGATATTATAACATTAAGAAGATCAAGTAGGAAACTATTATTTGGGTTGTGTAAAGTTGATAGTATTTTGAGCTTAATTTTAACCTTGAATGTTGTTGGGTTTTTTTGTTTTTAACAAGAGGCTTAGAGTGTAACTCCAAGTAACCAGGTAGTCGTACGACAGCTTATAATAGTGCACTATGTGGCAGCTATAGTTTCTCTGTACTTTGTAACATGTCACATGTCTATCGGAAAGTCACAGTGACTGCAGACCATCAGGAACAATAGAATATTATGACCATGGGAGAATATGATCTAAAAAAACTAATATCTTAAAACTGTCTTTTTGAGTAGTATTCTGTATTTATTACAGCAATAAATATTCAAAATTCTGCTTAGACAAATGAATTTTTGATTCTTTATGTCTGTACTTCTACACTCTAGCACATATATTTGTGTCACACCCATCATCTTTCATAGTTTGTAGGTCAAGGTTTTTTATTTTTTTACCAAAATGGGTCACAAAATTTTGGGCAAGGTGTACTGGTAATCCTGAAAAATTTATGTAATGGATTTGCCCAGTTTTGAATTTAGAAGAGTCTCATCAATGCTAACACACCCTCCCCCTTGTCATCAGAAATTAGAAATACTTGTGTAAAAAATTATTTTCAAAGTACTTTTGATTCCAGCAGAGAGTTGTTGATAATGATGACACATCCAGACTGCGTCACCAGCTTGCTGACCTACAGATTCAGCTGGAGGAACAGGAAAAGCTGTACCAGTCTAAATGTAAAGAATTGGACATGGTAGCACACAAGCTCAATATCAAGGTGACCACACAATCAGACAACACGGATCATTCTGATATGGTGAGTAAAATGAAGTCACTTGTCTCTCACTGCTGTGGGTTTGAATCCTGTCACGGACTTCAGTTTCTTACATGTGAGCTAGCCAGCTAATTTAGCTAGCCGACGGAAAGTTGATGGTTCTACTCAGGTGCTCGCTTCTGCCTGAAATAATACGTGACAGGGTACTTGAGGTCTTTCTCCATTATTAAAGCTGGAAACATGCCATATGACCTCTAAGGTCTTTCTCCATCGTAAAAGCTAGAAACACGCCATATGACCTCTATAATGTCAATGTGACGCTTTCCCAATATGTAAACGATGCATAAGACTGCCTCTAAAATGATAATGGCTTGTGCATGTATTCTGATATCATATATAGCTTATATCAAATATTATAACTTGTGTAATTGCTGTCAAACAAATTGTCTCGAGGGGGAAATGGGGTGTGTGTTGCGGGGGGGGGGGGGGGGGTTTGCAATGTGAATATTTTGTACAATGGTATTGCAGTCAGAAATATTTTCTTGAAAAAAAAAAACAACATGTGCCAGATGAAGGTTTCTTATTCAATACTGGATGTTCATTCCTCAGTGATATATTCCTTGAACATTATTTTGTTACAGTTACAAAAGATAATGGGAGAGTTACAACATCTGAAGGGAGCTGTGGAAGGGGAGAGACATTTACACATAGATATTAATTCTACACATACTTCACCAAACAAAGATGTTCCCAACTCATGGTATGTTGAAGATTATACTGAGATCTTACTCCACCAGTAAAGCTGGAATGTCGCCATCCTTTACAGTGTCGGAACGATATAAACCCCCCCTCTCTGCCCCCCCCCCCCCCCCAAAACAAACAACAAATTCAGAATTGAAAATTTGAAAAATGAAAGTAATAAGATTATCTTTATTTCACTAGTCCAACAAGATTCTTACATCTACCATGCTAAATATCTTAAATGGACTTGTCCCTCTGTCAGTCTGGACATAAAATTTCAAAATAACAGCAGACTAAATAGCAGTTACAATTTAGACAAATGCTATGCTCTTGACATATTAGATTCATTAGGAGTTGGGCAAGCTCAGGATAAGAAAGTTCATGCGGGTAGATTCAGATTGGTTAAAGAGTATATATTACTAACATTCTTTTAGAGAGAGTCACCAAGTATGGGTTTTTCTGTTGTGACAATAAGCAAATAAAGGTAATACATGTGTATTTCCATGCCAGTTTTGTCTGTTTACATGTTTGACAGATTATTTAAGTATTAAACATCGTGACCAGTCATATGTGATCATTGTTTTGTAGGGATGATCTGTTTTGATAATGCAGTGTGGTAATAGTTAGAGAGAATTGTATAAGTAATCTTCTGACATTTGTAAACATGGTCTCTTGCATGTCTGATAGATTATTTAGGTGTGAAATGTTGCCAGTGTTATATGTTCACTGTTTGTAGGGATGATCTATTTTAATAATGCAATGCAGTAATAGTTTATAAAGAGAAACAAATTGTATTAGTAATCTACTGAAATTGGTAAACAGGTTGTGTAAGAATATAAATATTAATCGTTTAAACTATCCCACTTGGAGCAGTGTGTATTGTAAGGCCTTGTGTAATATCCTTTCTTTTATTAACATAATTTCTTTAAGGAGTTAGTACCCAAGTTGTTGAGGTCAATATACAAAATGGTAGTTTTAATGTTAGAGTGAGACTAACAAAAAGGTGTTGGAGCACCACACATAATGCTGTGTTCCTGTATACTGGTCACCTTGGATGGTTAAATGCTAAATTCTGCCCTTTACACGCACAGAAATGCACTTTAAAAGGCCCCTTATTCATCTATTCACGATGATGAATGAAGAATGCAAAAAAATCGGCGAAAAAAAGCGATATTTTCCTATTTTGTAATGATGATTTTTGCAAGTACTGCTCCAGCACTGTAGTGAGTTAAATCCTTGATTTTATGGTTGACCTTTAATGAGATTAATTCCCCTTTTTCTAGGCCAAATTGATAGATATGTCTGATATTGTTAAGGTTAACTCCCATTATTCTGAGATGGCAGGCCTGGTTTACTTTTAAAGCTGCATGCCTCCAGATGAACCAAAATGTGTCAAGAAAATTAAACTTGAGAAAATGTACTAAGGTTTTAAGAAAAATTAAAAATATTAACGATTCGAGTAATGATTTACATGTAATGTGCTATTAAGGGCTGATTTTGCAGTATTTATCACCATTTTTCTACTGCGTTACTAACGCAGTAGGGGCTATTTTTGCTTATTTTGACCTCTTTTTGGGTAATTTACGTTGATTGCAAATGCTGTTTGCAATGTGAAAATTATTTTCTTTGATCATTTAACAATATTTTACTTTCAAATACATTTTAAAAAATTTCATGAAAATGAGCATGAATCTGGAGGCATGCTGCTTTAAATGCCAGACAGCTTGACTTATCCTTGAAGTATGTTTTCTCCTTAATTTAAGTACTTGAAATCCCTTAAATATCAAATGAACTGTTCAGAATTCCAAGAAGGAGAAGTCCATTCCACAAATTTGGAAGGGTGAGGGTTATCTGTTATTATACACAGTTGTGTCCCTTTTAAACAACAAGTTAAATCAACAAATACAGAATACAATATAGGTTATATAGAGTCACCTTGTTTTATCCCATCTCCTATTTCATATTGACACAGAAAATTCTGTTATTTGAGAACTGTTTAAAAGTCTTCATATTTATCTGAAGGGTAATTTAAAGTACTTTAAAAGAGGTAAACATGTCAGTGTTGATTTTTTTATTTTTGGGTATTTAAATGTCATTATCTTCAAAAAATCATAGAATTATCTATGAAATATTTAATGGTATGATGGTAACACGAGACCATAGGGTATTTATTTACAATTCTCAATGTATAAAATCTGCATTCAGGTTCGTTCCCCATGAAGAAGCCCTAATACCCCTTTACATGCAGTATCATATAATGTTTTGTTTGAGATGAGAAAAATTTTATTAGCATATTTATCATGAATTTTAAATATTCAAAGATTAAAGTTTCAGCTCATTAAGCGTTCATTGATTATGTTTATCGCCATGTTAACATGGCATTATTTTTGCGCCCGTTAATTTATCAATTCACCATGCCCGGACTGTTTTAACAAAGATAAAACCCGAAGTTTGCGAGATTTATTGGGTTGTTAAGCTAATTATAACGGGTGTGAAGTATAGAGAGTTAATTAGAGTGGTGAAATTAACCCAAAGAGATCTTTGTCACAACAATATATGAAATTTGATTTTGGGGGAAAAGACAAAAAAAAAAAATTGGCAAATATTATGATTTTATCATAAGCATAAGGAATAATAAAAAGTATATTTAAAAAGAAAAGCAGCATGGAATTACAGTATTTAAGGAAAATGTTGAAAATCTATGGATTTCAGTAAGTAATTTCTTTAATGTTTTTACAAAATTCAATATACAATAATTGTTGTGTGCAGTTAAAGGTATTTAAAAAATAGTTTTATTTTGTGTCATAGATAATGGTACATTGTATATTTAAATTCTGTTTTTTGTAAGGTTTAAAACAATTTAAAAAAGAAGAGGAAGGAAAAATTGTATTTTAATCTTTAGCATGCTGGTGGAAACATAATATACCCATGCAACCAGTGCAGACTAAAGATCTGCAGGCTCAGTCACTACATATTTTGACCCTAAAAATGATGAATGGTTTTGTCCAGATTGAAAGACAGACAAGTCCATTTAAAATACTTAGTGGGGTTTACTTTAGTTTTTGGATTTTTTTCTTTGGAGGCTGACGTATAATAAAAAGAATGTTTAACACTTATTGTTTCTTATTAAAATCTTGAATTACTTCATTTTCTGTGTTGTTCAGATTCTTCCCATGTGAACAGTGCTATCTGATCAAGGTCTGCACTGTTTGCTATTCAGTCAGTATTTTTTTTTGAGATTTTCGCTAAAAATGATAAATGGTTTTGTCCAGAATGAAAGATGGTCTGGTCCATTTAAGGTATTTAGGGTTGTCAGCATTAAGTATACATTGTATAATTTGTATTGTCTACATCCACCTTAACCTGGAAAATTTCCCAGCATTCAGTTTTTTTTTTTTGAACTGTCCATTATCAATTTTGGGTAAGTCAAGATGAATGTAAAAGTTAGACACTGGTATAGAGCCTGGTCAGACTTTACAGATGCTCAGGTTGGCCTGGCTCTATACTGGTGGGAAAGTCTAGTAATTGGGTTCCAGAAGGAGCAAGAAAAGGGTTAAAAAAGGGAGTACAGATGAACACCTATCTCTTGTAATAAATGTTACAAACTAGCCTCATATTTGAATTTAGAACAATCCATTATTGATGATATTCATGATCATATTGCTTTAAATAAATCTAACATTTTCCAGTAAAGAGTTTGGTTTTGACGAGAGGTAGGCCTGGCTCAGTGTTACATTATTACTCTAGTTGTTACTGCTAGAGTTCTGTCTGTGTTATTTGTGTCACTATTTGTGAAGCTTAAGAGATAAGATATTTAATCAAAGTGATTTCTTTCTTTTAGTATTTGTGATAGTTTTTGTTTATGTTTATGCCTCATTTGAAATGTTACAGCGACCTTGATGTAGTAAGACCTGGGCCTACTAACAATCGCGCCTCTGTGGGTGGTAAAAATGGCAGCCATGTTCCTGTGTTAACCAAATCTGCAACTTCAGATGAGTGTGAGTCTCTGCGGAAACAAGTAGCGGACCTAAAGGCGCAAGTTCATCATCTACAGAACATGTTGAAAGCCACTGAGGAAACAGTACATCGCCAAACGCAAAAAATGAAACATTACAGAAATATGCTGATTGAGAATGGACTGTTATCTAGGTCAAGGTCAAACAGCGTATCTGATCTCCCTAGTGCCCGCGCTAACCGATCAATGACGAGAAAGATGTCGGCAGACTCAATATCTCCGAGAGGAAGAAGTTTGTCACCGACCCACGTTGGTAGGAGACAGCCTGAGAATTCGGAGGAATTTGAAAAACTTGTCAAGGTTTGTGGAATATAATATTGTTATATAATTACTTTTCAAGGTTTGTGGAATATAACATTGTTATATAATTACTTTTCAAGGTTTGTGGAATATAACTTTGTTATATAATTGCTTGTCAAGGTTTGTGGAATATAATATTGTTATATAATTACTAAGGTAATGATATAGTGTTTAAAGTCATTAAATTGCCGAGCCATTCATAAAGATCTGTTTTACTCAGAATTAGTTAATTTTCATTTCTTTTCTTCTGAGATTCTGATAATGCCCCCATAAAGTAACTGAAGTTATACTAAGTATGAGTTAGTATTAATTAAAATTTGATTTGTTATACACAATATACAGTCAGTTTAATGCATATGCTACTGTAGATTACTGGCTACACAGAAAATAATTTAAAATAAAAATAGAAATTTTAACTTTAAACTTATGATTCCATATTATTCAAAATTTATTACATATTCTTATAAAGTTGATTTATACATATAAAGTTAATTTATATGTATTCATATTAAATTGATTTATTACATATTTATATAAAGTTAATTTATTACATATTCATATTAAATTGATTTATTACATATTCATATAAAGTTAATTTATTACATATTCATAAAGTGATAATTTATTACATATTCATATAAAGATAATTTATAACATATTCATATAAAGTTAATTTATTACATATTCATAAAGTGATAATTTATTACATATTCATATAAAGATAATTTATAACATATTCATATAAAGTTAATTTATTACATATTCATAAAGTGATAATTTATTACAATTTATTACACAAACAGAACAATATTAAGCTGAAGGAGCAGGTAGAAGGATACCGACGTGTATTGAAGGTGTTCCAGAGTAGAAGTCCGAGCCCGAATGACGAGCTCGACAAAAGTAATGAGAAAATCTCGGACGATGCGGATACTGCTCCCATGAGCTTTGAGAGTGCTTCTTGTGTTCTGAAGAGCTGGTTTGAGATGTTGGACAAGTATCTGGTCGAGCGAAGTGAATCCCAGCTTCCGGCATCAAGTATAGAGGTTTCTCGGTTACGACGTGGTCTGGTGCAAGCTAGAGATGCTCTTAGGTCCATGTCTTGTTCAGCTTTAGGTATGTGGTGGTCAAATCAGTTTATGTTTATCTAACGCTTATACTTAGAAATGTAGGTTTGTGTATTTTGTATATTTAAAGCAAGTGCAAAAGAGCAAATCAAAATAAATGTAAATAAGTGTAATGTTTTCAGAACAAAATAAAATTGGTGTATTATGTATATGTATTCAAATCACAATAAATTGGTGTATAGATAAAATTAGTGTAAAACATTCAAATCAAGATAAAGTTGGTGTAATGCTTTCAAATTAAAAAGACTTTTGTGTACTGCTATAATTTCAGATCAAGATAAACTCAGTGAAGGAAGATTGTCACCAGATAGTGGCTGCTCAGATAATCCAACTAGGTAGGTTGATAAATGATGTTATATAAATTTATAGCGGATCCACCACTAAGTTTTAAAGTTGCTTAATCATTCTGCTTAAAATAAATTCATTATATATTTTAGGCAGATTTATATTGTATTCAATATCAACTGATGGCCCATCACCATTATAACAGTCGATCTTTTGAAATATGTAGACAGTTCAGCTCAACTTGACAATGAAAAAATGAGCATAATGTCACTTTAATGCATTGCAGGCTGATATAACTTGTACTTTATTTGTTCCAGTGCTCAAAACACGTTAAAGGAATCTCCTTCAAGCAGTCCCAAAAACAGGAAATCAACCAGTCCACAATTTACAGTAACCAGTCCAGACAGAGTTGCTAGACTGGTACAAAATGAGAGTCAGTCTAGAGAAACGTACAGACACGGAAGTGTGATCCCAAGTATGGGAAATATGAGCATGTTTAGTCATATAGACCCCAACACTAATGACACAAGTGTTTTCAGTACGGCCTCTGTAAAATCAAAGGCTTCTGATCTCCTGAGACCGGAACTTACTTCACCGCCAACATTGCCAAACTTAAGTCCAAGAGGAAATAGTTCTGTCAACCAACCGAAACATTTGCATAATAAACATTTGAATATCGACCAATGGGAGCAAAGCTTTATGCCAAAGTTACTAGATGAGTCATCCCTGGCTGATATAACAAACTTAGGACAGCAGTCGTTGATTCGATTTGAAGATATTTCTTTGTTGGACATTACATCGCAAGATAATCAGCATAACAAAACCTGTATGGCGGATATGAAGGAACAGATTAAAACACTGGAAGATATTATAAATAAGTACGAGATTCAGATACGTCAGAAGTCTCAACCGGATATGGACTCGTTACAACAGCAGCTTGCGGAGTTACGGCACTTGAGAATTCAATTAGAGAAGGCCCTGGCATGGAACGCGGCGTTAGAGAAACAGTTGATAGAGCTATATAATAGTTCCGAGTGTACCATACATGAACTCAGATCTAAACTGGAAGACAGTGAACATTGTGTCCTAGAAAAGGTAAACTCTTTCCTGAACTACTCATTAATACAATTTAATAGTTCAAGTTTTAGTAACCTTAAACTTTTTAAGAAAGATTTTAATTGACTGATTTATTTGCTTTTCTTTTTCCTGGAAATAGATTTGTATAATTCTTGTAGGTAGAAATGTTTAAAATTTTGGGACTAATAAGGGGAAAAGATACACTTGCATATTGAAAGCTGCATGAAGATTAATGTCAAGTATATTTTTGCCTTTCAAATTTCTTTAATTATACAATACATATGATAAGGCACCTGTGGCTGAGTGGTAAAGGTAGTTGACTTCAAACCATTTGTCCCTCACCACTGATGGTTGGAATACCGACAGGGACTTTAAATTCTTTCATGCGAGGAAGCTATCCAGCTAGCTTACGGAACATCGGTGGTTCTACTCAGGTGTCTGTTTTACCCGAAATAATGCACAAAAGGACAATTGAGGTCCATGTCCACCAGTTAAGCTGGTGCGTCGCCATATGACCTATACTGTGTCGGTGTGACAAAAACACAAACAAACAAACAATACATCAGAAGGTATTGAAACCAGTTTTGCTTATTTTATGTTTCATCATATCTCCTTTCGGGTTAAGATTTCACATTTCATATTATCTCCTTTCAGGTTAAGATTATCACAGAGAAGGAGAAGATTATCTCCGAAACTCGAATATCTCTTGGCCAATTTAAGGATAACTCTAGCAAGGCTCATGAGAGAGTTAAGTCCCTTGAAGATATGTGTGCACAGTTGAGAAATGCTGTGGAGCAGTATCAGAAAAGATGTTCCAAGCTGCAGGAAGACAATAAATCTCATATGGAAGCTGTATCTAGGTATGTTACAAGGAATTATGAATGTTACACATATATTTACACTATGTTTCAAGAAGTTTTAAACTAATTCACACAAGTTAAAAGTTTTAAACTTATTCACACAAGTTAATTTGTAGCGATACCCATTTCTGCAGGTAATAATTTTACCATGATAAATTGGAATGATAAACTTGCCATGCTGTCATTTTGTGCATTTGAAACGGTCCATGGTTATTTTGTAGTCTGTGTGCCTGAAGTAATGTATGGAATGGCTCCAAATGTGTTCCTTCATAAGTAATGCTGAAAAGTCACCTTACAACCTTGACTGTGTTGGTTTTACTTTAAGGGACTCCACTGAGGTATTTTGACATGATGGGACTGAGAATATTTTTTCCAGATAAATATACCATTTGATGTAGGTTTAGACAACTAATCTTTGTGCAAAATTTCAGATCATTTGCGCACTTCGTTTTTCCAGAATAATTATTCAGATTGTAAAAAAAATGACCCAAAAATGAAAAGCTTTTCACACAAATCTTGCTAAGAAAAGCATAAAAATATGATTTTCAATTCATTTCAAAGTATATTTCTTAACTATCTTTGCATATATTTCTGTAATTCTGTCATTTATGTAAGAAAATCAAATGTTATGTTTTAGGCTTTTAAACCTCAGTGGAGTCCCTTTAAAATCAGATTAAATCAGATAAAAAGAATATTATCTACATTCTTAACAAAACTCAACCTGTCAGTTTAGTATGAAAATAAAGAGAACGTTTTCTTATTAATTTTTCACCTGCCCTTTAGTATTTCATATATTGTTTGCTGTATGTGTGAATTATATGTGTATATTAAAATCGGACTAAAGCAGAAAAAAGAATATTATCTACATCCTTAACAAAACCCAACCTGTCAGTTTAGTATGAAAGTAAAGAGAACGTTTTCTTATTAATTTTTCACCTGCCCTTCGGTTTTTCAGATACCAGACGAGGGTCAAGGACTTGGAGAAAGATGCTGTAACTAGGTCAGAGCAGAGGTCACAGGCCGAGGCCTTGAGGTCACGTATTGATGAACTAGAGAGTGAGGTAGAAAGGAGGCAAGAAAATGAGCTCACATACAAGAAATATCTAGAACAGACTAGATCACAGGTATTGTCTTCATAGATATTTAATCTGGTAAACGTGGTTTTTTTTGGAGTAAAGTATAGTTGTTCTTTTATTGTTCTGATTTCAAGAAACATTTCTTTGTGTGGTTTTTATTTTGTGCTGGATATACAAAAATATTTATGTATATGCTTGCTGGCTTTTTCCTTTGTTCTTTGTTATGTCCTTCATTTTTCTTCTTTATTTTATCCTTGATTAAGTCCTTCATCATCTTCTTTGTCCTTCAGTCACTCTGTCCCTAATTTATTCATTTATTGACTGATGTTATGAATACCCGAGGTTTCAGGTTATTTGGGTCATTTCAAGGTCACTTCAACTAAAAATAGATTTTCTTACTTTTTCTAGTAGCTTTATTTAAGAAACATAACACCCATCAGTGTTGCAGATAGTCTTATTAGTGTTTCAGCTACACTAAATAATAGTTTTCTTGTATCAGATTCATACTGAATAACATCTCTCTGGCAGTTACATTTACGGGTATTACAAGTTTATGAATGCATTTATTTACATTTAATACGATGGTTTGTTGTACCAGGTGACCAAACTAACTGGCGAGCTTGATGAGACGAGAGCGGAGATGGACAAAAGTAATTCTGAACTGTACAATGTTAAGATGGAATTGGAAAACCTGCGAGATGTTGTAGAAGAGCAGAACCAACAGTTAGGTGACAAGACGACCCTTATAGACAAACTACAGACAGATATGAAGGTGAAGGACATTTGCCTGAATGAGCAAGACGCCCTCTGTCAGGATCTGACTGTAAGAGTTATAGATAGTTAACTTTACCTTACCTAATATGTGTAACATACTAATATGTGTAACATACATATCCTGTGTTGTAGTTTTAACTTTTTCTTTGGCTAGTTTGAACTGTAGAAAAACAGCAAATGAAAAAGGTGTAATGAACTCTTTTTGAAGATGAACAACAGTTTCTCTGTGGCCCAACTGAGCACTTCTTGACCTTGAAAGTAAAGGTTAACTTTTTGAATTCTATGAAATTTTACTACTGCTTAGTTATTTACTTACAGATTTGTAAATTATCATTAAAATTTATCATATGGAGACTTTCTGGTCAAATGATTCAACTTACAGCCCCTTGTGACTTTGGTGATTATGTCCACCAGGGACATTTGGGGTTAATGCCCACCAGGGACTTTGGGGGCTGATTAAGAGGAAGCTATCCAGTAAGCATAAAGAACGTCAAGGTGCCTGTTTGTGCCTTAAATAATGTACGAAGGTACATAGTGATGGCATCTTTCACCAGTAAGGCTTAAAAGTTGCTATATGCCTAGTACAGTGTGTGTGTAACTAAAAGACATTGTATTTATCAAATTGCAGTCAAAACTAGAGTGTGTAACAGCATCCGGCAGTAAATTGTCGAGTCAACTGGATCAACACCGTCAAACTTGTGCTAGTTACAAGAAACAGATCGAGGAACAGGACGCAGTCACCCAGGATCTGAAAGACCAAGTAGATCAGCTTAGAGATAAACTTGCTCAATCAATGCAACAAAGGTATGAATTGGTAAAATAGCCACTAAGTCAGCTATTGGAGAGATGATAAGTATTTATATTGGTTAAGAGGAAAAGACTTTTAGGCTTAGAGGTTAATCATATACCTCTCACTGTTGTTGAGGGGTTGAATTTAGATTTAGAGTTTGAGCTGTCTGACTTGCTTATAGATGGCAGGAGACTTAGGTAGCTGCTTGTTTTGAAATAATTCTTTTAAGATGGGTGTACCTGAGGTCTTTCTCTGCTGGTAAAGTTGGAAATATGCTATTAGACCTAAACAGTGTAAGACTTACAGATCTCATTTTTAGCCTTGAAATTAAAAAAAAATTACATCTTTCTTTTTCAGAGAATCTCAAGATAAGTTATTGCAGGAGAAAGATGATATGTTGAAGGAGACAACAAAATTAAATGAGAAATACGTTTATAACCTTAAAGTTCGTTACAAACAGTGTCTCAAGTAAGTTTTTAACCTTTTTTTTTACTTTTGTTTTATCTTATTCAGAATAATTATAACAGAAATTATTTTCTTGCAGAATTATTATTTTGGCAATGTGGTGTTTCATTTTCTTGCAAAATTATTATTTTGGCAATGTGGTGTTGTTTTTTTTATGGTAGTTGTGGGAGATAATATAATCAAACCAATTATTAATGCTCATTTAACTTCTATATCCTTACTCTTACCAGGCTAAATATCATAAATGGATTTGACAATCTTTCACACTAGCCAAAACTATCAATATTTAGAGAAACTTTTTCAAAATATGTTCTTACAAAATATCAAACAGTGCAGACCATGATGAGATATCATGGATGTACAGGCTGATACTGGTTTGCACTGGTTACATTGGTAGAATCTTTTGTAGGTTAATATTTTATCTATGAACAAGGGCTGAAAAAAACTAACTCTAACCCAGCTATTTAAAGAAAATAATTAACACACATTCTGAAGATAGGAATGTTACCCATTTTCTTTGAAAATAGATATAAGTGTAATAATTCAAGAGGAAATTTTTGTTACAGTTACAAGAAAGAGCTAGCTGAGACAAAGAAGAAGTGCGAGGATACAAGTGTGTTAAATAACACACTACAGACAGAACTTTCTGTGAGACAACAACTGATGGAGAACCAGGGTGGTATGTGTGTCTACTTGTTTTGTTACCTTTATAACCCTAACAGTCCTTGACCATTAGAGTCAATGACAATAAGAGTCTTTGGCCATAAGTGTCTGTGACCTTTACAAACTTTGGCAACAAATACATGGTTGTTTGCATTATTGCTTGCTCAATTTTGTGCATACATGTCCGTTAGTTACTGATTTAGAATATCTGATGAAACACTGGGGGCCATATACAAAATGTTGAAGATTATATTAAGAACCTAATTCTTGCTGTTGTGGGTTTGAATTCTTCATATTGAATTTTTTAATGTCAGTAAGGCATCTAACCAGCTAGCTTACAGAATGTCAGTGGTGTTTCTTAGGTGCATAGTCAGCTCATTTTCCAGAAAAGCTGGAAAGTTGCCATATTACCTAAACAGTGTTGGTCTGACTTGAAAAAAAAATTCATTAATAAAAAATAGATCAAGATCTATGTAATGTTATATCACTTTCAAAACTAGTGATGTCATATGATGATTATGATAATTATTATTTATGTGTACAGACATGTTGACGGATGATGACAAGCATAAGATGATCCAGCAACTGTTGAACGAGCTTCGACTAGCCAGTTTACAGATGACGAAGATTCTACAACAGAACGAGAACATTAAACAGAAAATGACCGAACTTATAGAGCATAAAAAACAAGGTATGTATAAGCAATGTTGTCTGAAATGTAGAAACTTCTGAAATATGCTTTGGCAAAACTGCAGTAACTTGTATGAGATAAAGAACAACTTGCAGTCAACCCTCGAAATTTTATATATGAATTATAATAGTAATGTGTATTTTCAGAATTAAACAGGATAGGTGGAGATAAACCCGGGGGTCGTAAAAGCAGCGAAAGTGTGGATAGACTTAGCTTTGAAGGTATGTTTATTTGACTGATGAATATTTTTGTAAAGATGATATTCATGTGTGTCTTTGTAAACTAAATGATGAAACCTGCTGGAATTGAAAACAATATGTTGTTTATATAATAAAAACTGCTAGTATTGCAGTTTATATGGTAAAAAATGCTAGTTTTACAGTTTATTTGGTAAAAACAGCTAGCATTGCAGTTTATATGGTAAAAACAGCTAGCATTGCAGTTTATATGGTAAAAACAGCTAGTATTGCAGTTTATATGGAAAATACTGCTAGTGTTGCAGTTCATATGGTAAAAACTGCTAGAATTTTAACAATAAGCTGTTTATAAGTTACATCTGCTAAAATTGCGACTGTTTATACATTGATAGAGTGTAATGTTATATTTAGCTGTTTTCACCTGCACATTCTAATTACCCTGCCAAATATCTGAAATGAACTTGTCCATCTTTCAATCTGGACAAAACCATTCATCATTTTTAGGGAGAAATTTGAAAATATGTACTGAGGGAATAGTTAAATAATGCAGACCATGATCAGATTCCACAAATGTACAAGCTAAAAAATATTGCCACTCTAACAGGCTAAGGGGTAATGGCAAGAGATAGTTTATATGACTCAGCCCCCTCCCCCAAGTATGCTTTGTTTCTGTACATTTATTAAATGAGAATTAATTAGAGAGTGTTTGTTTGTTAATACAGATACGGGAGATGACAGCTTTGGTAGTAATCAGACATGGCCACTGTATGACGACCTTACTGATGGTTTACCACGCACCGATAATCTCTCGTCTAGTCTGCCACTAGGATCGAGGAAGAGTGGTTCTCGACATCAGGAAGACAAAAACCCATTGGAGCCTTACCTGATTAAACAGACATTAAAAGAGGTACCAGCAGGGGGTTCGGGGAATCAGTTCAGTGTGCCGGGACCGATATACAAACAGGGCATTACCGATGACTGTCTCATGTATAACGTGAATGACTCTCCGAAATATTTACAAGGTAAACATTATTCTCTAATTATAAATGCACAAGTCCAATACTTGTGTGTTTAAAATAGTTATGAAGTAGGCTTTTGGGGACTTTTTTTTCTCAGGTGTGTGCTAGTATCTGAAATACTGCAGAAAGGGGCATTTTGAGTTCTTCCTCTTTAACAGTAAGCACTGGAAATTTACCATTTGATCATGCCAGTTTATTGTTACCCCAAGACAAAAGAGATCCTGATTTTATTTTTAGACCTGGCTTGCATTATTTTTGGACAGGCCAATTTTAATTATGACTAATTAAATAGTTTATCAGGCATGTATCCAACAGGCTTAAGTAAGGCATCGTTTATTACAGACATGGCTTACTTCAGGCATATTTTCAACATGCTTATTATATTCATAATATAACACAGGCATGGCTTACACTATGTCACAAGGAATATTAATCACATGATGATTTTTGCTGTAGTTGTTTTCATTACAGTTGAACCAGAAATCATTGTTGTATATACAGTGAGAAATATCAATGTTTCAGGTTTGACACAGGTAAAGATTGACTCAGACATGAGGTCATTGTTTGCAATAGGTATGATCGATCATTTTGAGAAGCTACGCAAAGAAACAAACGAGAGCAGCGTGATATTGAAGGGTTTATCTACACGAGTCACTGAACGTCTCAAGGTGTTCAATACCATGCCGGCACTTGAGGTAATCCTTTAAACTTGAAATTGCTAGACTTCATTTGTAGTTATTCGCAAGTGTCCGAGACACACGGATATAGTTTGATAACCATTTTTTATTCACATTGTTTTCATTTCATTTTAACTTGTCACATGATTCGTAACATGACTTGTCTCATAACTTATCACATGTTTTTGTATGATTTTCTATCACATGATGTAATCACATGACTTGTCACATGACTTAAACTCATTATCACATTCTATGCTTAAGGTGACAACGGAGTCAATTATCACTGAAAATACCTAAAATGAGATTTTTTGCTAAGTAGATTTATCAACCTTTTCTGAACACATTCGTGATTTAATTTTGGAAGCAGTTAGTCCAAAAAATGTGTTTTTAAACGATTTAAAACGGTACCTATACTATTTGTATCTGCTATTCGCGTAACCTGTCGATTATCGATAACGCTCCGCCCCCTGTTGAGGCATCAATGAGGGAAATCGGTAGTTCCATATATCCGTGAATTACAGGTCCATACTGGTCCATACTTCTCGTAATACATGTATCGTTCATCTACCGTACATCTTTTATGAATATCTCAACATTAAGCCTTTTTTATAAATTAAGAAATTGTCGGCCAATGTACGTAACATAATGTATGAAACATAAATAATTAAGCATAGCGGCAAAATGTAGTTGCTAAAATATCCATAATGTGTGAAAATAATTTGTCTGTCCCGTTAATCTGATATATATTACATTGAGTTGATAGACTTTTGTACGGATTCAAGGACTTACTTTACATTCAACCTCGTTTTCTAACAATGTCAAGTAAAACAACAACAGACGACATTTTTTATGTGAACGCTTATATGACTTGTGGTAAGGTGTCCCTGACAAATTTCTAAACCATTTTAGATTGTCTAAGGATGATTATTTCTCTATGAATAAAAAAAGATATTAAAATATATTCTCAGTGAAAATAAATTGTTCGCCAGTAAATCCGACACAGTACTAATAAATCTGGGACAAAGTATGAAATTTATCGTCTATCCCGGAAGAAACTGGATCTCTATTCCATGCATAGATGATATTCATGATTATAGAAGTCAAGAAGGCCACATCATAATGATCGAGCAATACCTTTTATTTCTATTAAAATATGTGAAGCATTATCAATTTGGTGGAAAAAATATATACTATCCCGTTCTTATTTGTACATCTACTATGGACTTTAAAAGACTGTCAGAAGCTCAGTTTTTTGTTATTTTGCTTTATATTTTAACGGAATTTCATACACGAATACACAGGCAGAGTGACACTGGTATAATACAATAATAATGCTGATGATAATAATAATAAACTTCAAATAGGAAACAATTAAATACCCCGCTAGCGGTGCGCAAATGCGTTCCATTTGCCCCCACTGAGTGCCTCAAATTTTACCGATAGTCACGTGACATGTGCGACAGATACCAGACAGAACAGTAAATCACGTTAAGAATTGAAGAAATTTCGGCTATAAACTGATATTAATAAGCAGCTTTTTAATTGGTCAGATGTCACTGGGTCATAAAATGTTGTTAGAGTATGTTACCGCAACTTGTGACCCTCTCTGGTGCGATATTTGTGTATTATGCAATTATTTAGCGTGAAACGCAGGGGTCCGAGAGAGAACAGCCGATTTATGACACTTCGTTTGATGCGGGTCGGACTAACTTTGAATCGGCATAACTTTTTTAATAATCAAGCAATTAACATGCGGTTTAAAGCACATGAAAGGAAATTCATTTACGGAGGGAACCGTGTCAGGGATTTTTGTTTACTCAATCAGCTACTTAATTATCTTTAATTACGTAATATGTATGGTGAAAAAAGTCGCATAAAATATTTGACGTTACGTAATATTTTTTTGAGAAAAGATATAAAAAATTTGAGACACGGTTCCCCAGATAATATAAGTATGGTTATTTTCCAAAAGTTTGATGACAAAAAAATAAAAAATGACTTTGATATGACGATTTAAAATTTTAGGATTTTTATTCAAAATCAATCATTTACAAAGGCATTATTTTCAAATATGTTATTTTTTATGATGATCAACGACATTTAATGCACAAAGATTAAATGAATAACAATTATTACTAAAATAACTTGGTTTAAATGACATTTATGTGAGTACCACGGAAAGTGTCTGTTGTCACCTTAATCTTTTTAACCTGTTCATTAAAATTTGTCGTACAAACACAAAACTTTCGGGCAGTATTAATTGTCTTGTGTGCGACAATATCTGCAGGTGCTTTGCGTATATAAGTTGGTACCCAAAACATAGGACGGTTCCCTAATATTCATAGGGACTCTGTAAATATTTGATAACAAAATGATTCTGTATTAATGCTAGTATAAAATATGTCATTATAACTGCTAGAGATATAGATACTTAAAGAATGTCATCTAAAGTTTTGTTTATCATTTATTTAAAATATGGACTTTTAAATTATCTTCTGAGGAAAGAAAACTGTGAGTCATTCTGCAAATTTGCCGAACTTTATGATTTTATGCTAGCATTTACAATGTACATTAATATTATATATCAAACAATCTGTTTCACGTTATTATCACCAATTTTGTCATTGTTTTCTTTGTCACAGATGATCAAGGTAACATAACCAAACAAACTGCTAGTATATATTGCTGTATCACCACCATACATGCATGCCATCACTAAAATAACTTATCAACGTTCTTATCTAACAAAAATTGTGAATGTTTTATCTAAAGGGATCATTCTGGAATATCACTGAGAAAAATTTCAGTGTTTGGCCAATATTAAAGCTATTGGGCCAATATGAAAGCAGAGAATTTCTTGTTTAGGGTCAATATGCAAGTGAGAGAAATTCTTCTTTTGGGCCAATATTAATTTGAGAGAAATTTTCTCATGGGGCCATTTTTACAGTGAGGGAATTTCTTTTATTGGCCAAATATGAAACTTAGAGAATTTATTTTGTTTGGCCATTACTAATGTGAGGTAAACTGTAATTGGGCCAATATGAGAGAATTCCATAATTGGGCCAATATGAAAGTGAGGGAATTTCTTTTATTGGGCCAATATAAATGTTAGAAAATTTATTTTTTTTAAGGCCTTTATAAAAGTTGGAGAAATTCTGTCATTGGGCCAGTATTAAAGTGAGAGATTTTCTTTTATTCTGCCAGTATGAAGAAATAAATGGAAAGAACTGTAGTGTTAAAGTAGAGATTTTATTCAGAAGGCGTGGGAATTTATTTTACACTTAAACAATTTTATTATACAGGGTAAATCGTTTAGTTATTTTGATGAAATAACATGCCAATATCACAAACGTTATAATATCACACTAAAGAATGATCCCTCAGTATATGTGCAGTAGTTAAGTCAAAGTGGGTTGAAATATATGTATGTAATCATCAATGTTGCTAGATTTATATGTGGGACAGCATGTGGTTCATTTTGTCCAATCCATCTCTGTACTTTGTGGAGAAGTTGCCTCTGACAAAAAAGACCAATTGAATTGTTCCTCACTCATGCATGACAGACTTTGAATTTACATACATGTGAACTCTCCCACTTTTAGCGGGAGACTCCCACTTTCTGCAGCCATATTTTCAAAGATTTATCTTAAAATAAGGGGTATTTTCACAAATTAAAGAAATCTCCCTATTTTTTATGTCAGAATTTCCTTCTTTGTTTAATGTTAATTCTAAAATCTCCCTCTTTTTGAAGAAAAATCTCCCACTTGATCATAAAAAAAAATTCACATGTATGAATTTATAAATAATGAATAGTCTTTAACCATTTTGTCTTCGTATTGAATGCTATGGGGGGAATTTGTCGAGTTGAAATTCTGCAAAGTCGGGCTTGAACCTGCAGACTCGGCTCGCTCTACACCGATCCCAGAGACCTTGTTTATACCACATCTAACCAGATAACTAAATGAAAATACCCTATTTACATAGGATGGTGAAGGTTTTATTGCTTGTACATGTACATATTTTACTATGCCTTGATAAATGAATGAATTGTGGCATGTGATGAATCTAAGCATGTTTGATCCTTTCAACAGATTAGTTGAAAAAAAAAAAATTTGGTATTTAGAAATAGTGTATTTTATTTTGGTCATGCAAAGTGCATTTTTTTGTGCATGTGCACTACAACAAGTGCATTAAAGAAATGGTGAATTCTTTGTAGTAGCTGTTGCACATATAATTTTATGCCAACAAGTTATTCTTTAATAAACTTTAAACAGATGACTTTATGTTCACATCATATTTATAATTACTAAGTAAAAATCTGCCTATACCACATGACTTATTTGATCTCTGGGGGCAGAAAACCAATACAAAAGATAATTCAGGTATATTTTCTTCCATAAAATTTTAGATACTAATTACTTATTATTTTTAGGAGGAAAACTTTGAAGCCTGCTCATGTTAGTTAGTTATGAACATTTTTTAGAATGAAAATTTTTTTTTCAAAATGAAATTGTGTGTAATTAATACAGTTTCACTTTAAGAACATATAAAAGAATGTTAGGATACATTAAGGAATATATACAAAAAAATTGAGATGACAATGAGTGTGTCAGATAGCATAAGGGAAAGTCACATGACACTGTAAGGCCCTGTTGTAAGGGCAGACTGAGCCTTGAAATACGAAAAAATCAGGGATTTTTTATTTACAGTTTTAATTTGTGTTATTACAGAGTAAAGAATATGGTATAATGAAGGAGATATCCTATGCTGTGGAGAATCTGCGTATCTGTTGTGACAGTCAGCTCTCTCTAGTCGGCTTCTTCTGGACGAGTGAACTACCGTGTCCGAACGAGCGCGGGGAGTTTGTAAACCAGAAGCTCTTGGATCGGGTAAATATGATAAGAATAACTAAGATTGCCAAATATGCTTTAATAAATGTTTGTTGAATTAAGATAATTAAACTTTTATTAATATTCATATCATCAGGAAAATGACATGTTTGTGATTCTATGAGTACGAAGTTTTTTTATTTCCTTTAATTTTTTTAACGGGACTAATTTTTTTTCTTGAGTGGAAACTATGATTCCAATGCAGGAAAGTAGTTGTTCTTGCAGTATCTGAAAATGACTGATTAATTAGTAGTACCACTAGTACTATAATATCATTTATCAATTTGCCATTGTATTTAATTAATGTGAAAAAATGAAGCATTTACAAAACAGAAAGCTTATGAAAATAAAATTTAGAATAAAAATGAAAAAAAAGGTTGAAAGTGTATAGTCTTTCCTGGTAATAGACATTATCCGGAGCTTGGCAAATGTGGGGTTTTTCCCAGCTAATCTGTAGGTACAAACTTTTACTGTTAAAGCTTCACGATGCACTACCTGTCGCAATAGATTAATTAACCTATGATGTAACCTGTGGTGCATATTTTCGAAGTTGTAACTGTAAAGCTTTGTTTGTACCAACAAATTAGCGGAGAAAAACCGAAGATATTCTTAATTGCGGAGTAAGTCTATTGGTAAAAATGTTATGTTAAAATGGTTGTTTTGATGATTTTGTTTAGAATGCTTTGTTGAGGGAAGAAGTGAGCAGATTGAGGGAGAAGTTAAATAAAGACAGCAATGGTCTGCAGAGAAGTGAGGACATGATCTGTGAAAGATGTAAGATCTATTTTCTACTCTGTTCAATCCTCAAGTTGTTATGTTATTAGCCAATGCCAACCACCAGTATAGAGCCAGGCCAGCCTTTATGCCTCTGTAGTGTGGACAGGGTCTATACTGGTGGCAGCTCAATTTTTGTGTACTGGTATTTTGATATTTAAATACCTTAAACATGGAATGGACTGTTCCAAATTCAAAGCAAAGTCATTACGTAAGATTCAGCAGGTTAAGTGTTAACTGTATATTAAAGTTTTCATGCCTCTTAGGCCAAGTGGTTTATTCTTGTTACAACACACAGACACTGTATAAACCGTATGGCAATTTTCCATAAAAAAAAATATATATCTTAAGTGCCCTACCTTATATGCACTGTTATTTAATTCACAGCAGGCTTTTTGAAGCACAGTAGAGAGGCAAGTTATAATTATTTGAAGTAAGCAACCACAATCATTTGGGTAATCTAGGCTTCTCATGGTTGTTAATGTCAGTGATTTTGAAATTTCCTTTTATTTACAACGGACATAAAAATGTTTTTGTTTTCTTTCTGTGAGAGAGCCCTTGTGCTAGGTTATGACATGTTGATGTCAATTGCTATTGTTTGCTCCCCCCACCATCACCCCCCCCTGAAAAATATACTGAGCAGGGTTCATACAGTCTTAAAAAGTGCTTAAATTTGAGTCCCTTTCTTAAAAAGTGCTTAAAAATGAAAAAAAGTGCTTAAAAGTCCTTGAATTTGATTACTCTCTTGAAAAGTGCTTAAAAAGTGTTTAAATATGCTGAAAATGTGCTTGAAAATTTGAAACACAGAATAACATAGTTTCGATAAAAATTAACAAAGTAAAAAGAAAATGATCCAATTTAGTATCAAAATCAATAAAATGTTTACTCAAGGTAACAGTAAGTGGGCAAATTGCAGTTGTTTTGAACTAATCTGTATTTGATGACCCTTTCTTGTTCTTCTATAAATTCCTTAAAATTGTGGTCAGAAAATGTGTATTCAACAAAAAATGGCAAATAAACTTCCCATCTTCGATTGAAAATTGTGTTGTTATATGTGCAACAAATGTGCTTGAAAAATGGAAAACATGCTTAAATAGTGCTTAAAAAGTCCTTGAATTTTGGCATTGGAGATCTGTATGAACCCTGCTGAGGTCTCTCTTTACTCATAATTAGAACTTGAAAAGTGTTTGTGTAAGTGAAAGCTAAAACAAATCACATACTCAGATAGTATGACAGTTAACTGAAGTGCCAACTTGTTTCAGATACGATGCAATACTGTATTCAATAAGAAGCAAATTGTTACTTAGAAAAGTTTAATTTCTGAAGTTAATTACAAGTTGTATCATTCATCTACTTTCAGTATTCTTTGAATGTAATATTTCTTGTATTTTTTTTTCAGTGGAATCTACATTAAATGTAATTTCCCATGCTAGACACAATTTGGAGCACCGCCAACAACAGCATCGACCAAACAGCCCTTATAGGAGCCCGTCTCGTAGTCCCCGCAAATAATCTCTCCCACCAAAAAATGTAAATATTGTGAAGTGAGACGGATTAAGATGTGTCCTTAGGATCCAAAAGTTGTTATAGCCGAGGGGATAAAGATGTGTAACTTGTGAAAAACTGACATTACTGGTCTTCCATATTTCTCTAATTTGCTAATGTGCCAATAAAGAAGGTTGAAATATTTAATATATGAAGACAATTGGAAGATGATTATTTAAAATGGTGATTTCAGCATCTCTACAGGCAGAAAATCTTTGATAGTAGTGCTTTACTGTTGCAAAAAAAATGTATATCCAACTTATGAAGGATTACAGATTGATGTTGAAAAGAATTTGGAACACTTTAGCTTTATATTGATAGGAAACATGTTGATAATTCTATTTATAACCATAGAAGGTGATAAGTAGAGTAAAATACTAAGGTTGAATTGATAAAAGGATAAAAAGTGAAGTTTAGATCTATGTAGCTAAATTGTGATAATGACATGAACCTCATGTTCTCATCTATAAGTCACATTTTTTAAGTCAAAAAGTGAGTAAGGAAAAAGGGGGAGCGACTTATAAGAGGTTCATATCTTTTTTTTGGCGCATTTATATTGTGGATTATGAAAAATTGAATTGTGATATATTGTATGTGTGTGTATATATATATATGTATGTATATTTATAAAATGTTGTAGTGCTTATAAACCTTTTTGCCAACAGTTCATGATATTATAATGTAAATAAATCATCATTTTGTTTTCATAGTAATGTCTTCCACCGACTGACTGATGCCAAAATTTTCTTGCACTTAATGTTTTTTCTACATTTTTTGTCACATATGTTACTTTGTTCATATATTGTTAATTTTGTACAGAAGTATTTTGAAAGGTTCTTATAAATTTGCCTACTCAAATTTTATAGAATGGCCTAAATACAACTTTAAAAAAAATGTTTATAAGTAAAAAGCCTAATATTGGTAATTGCCTCATATATTCATTTTACATAATTGTGGTACAGCATTGTCTTCCATAAAGATTTTTTATAAAATTTTCACATAGGGACTACCTGTTGCTCAAATATAGATAGGAGAAAGAGTTAGAAAATAGATTGTCTCGCCATGTTAAAGGGTTTTAAGCTAGATGAGGCTATTTGCATTCTGTCATCCATTTTGTTTATATTTTGATTTAAATCATACCTTTACTTTATACAGCGTAAGGATAACATTTGTTAAATTGTGATCATGCGGGTAGGAAAGATGCAAAATCATATATCACTCAACCCACTAAAAACAGCAGTACAATATTTTGTTAGGGAACTGTATAATCTGTACTCAGTAAGGGAATTTTTTCTCTTACATAATTCACAAGTGTTAACAGAAAACCACCACCAGATATGTACCGTTTTATTTTGTGTATGCTTTTTGTTTCTTTTTTAAATTTAATAGATCTTTTTTCCTTTTATAGTTTAAAACCCTTTAACATTGCATTTATATCTTCATCAAATAGATAATGACAAAGTTCATTGTACATAAACCATTCAGGTCATTGTTATAAATTAAAGTTGGTCATTCCTGACAGTCTCGACATTTTTAAAGAGTTCTGTTGGAATAAAGACCCTATGGTGCTTCACTGTATTCATGTATTTACCTATGACATTAATCAGTAAAACCCATTGTGTGTCATATTTAAAGTAACACACCTCCAAATTGCAAATTTTGTAACCAAGGACGTCATGCGTTTTAAGAATAAGACATTCAACCATTTTTGCACCAAGCCTATGATTGAATGCACGCTGCTTTTTGAGCTGAATCAGACAACGTAATGCAATATTAGTACCTGAAACTATTTTGCTCCGACTATTTCAATATCCTTTACATAGAAAGTTAGCTCAAAGCTACCATTTTATAAGCAAATTTATTTAGAAAATACATTGCAAGCTTTGGATTTATTTAATATGTTTAAACCAGTTTGCCCTGCAAAGTTCCCTACCATAATTTCCCCTTAAAGTACCCCATTTCCCATTTTCATGCCCTTCAAAGTACCCCACCATTATTGCCCATCAAAGTACCCCACCATAATTGCCCCCCTTAAGACAGCTTCATTTTGTAAATACATTGCTTTATTTATATATTTCTTACATGCATTTCATCAGCCACCTTTCTTACCCCTCCTATTAACTCATTTCTTGTATAAAAATGCTAATCAAGTTTTGTAATGTTTTTGCCTGGTTTCGTCCTCTTTGTGAATATTTTCATTTATTTCATTGCTTAAATTGTTTCATTTTTCACGATAACTGACATTCTGTTTAAAAAATGTTTGATGAAGTGAAAAAAAAGGGAGTATAAAACAATATGTATTTTTTTCAGGGGCTTTTTTTCATACAGAAAGTTCCTTTTTTATTTGGCCTACTCATTTCTTTTTTTGTTTTTTTTCTTTTTCCAAAAAATGTTGATTTGAAAAAAAGTAGGCTATTTGGACCATTTTGTTTTATACGGGGTTTTACTTATGATAAAACTTTGTTTAAAAAAATTCATACATTGAAATCTTTTGAATGCTATTTATATGTAAAAATTTGACCAACGCTATGAACCCAAAAACAAAAAAAACTTATTTTTTGTTAATTTGTTTTTTATTATTTTAAAAAAGTAAAGTATTTTCAACTACTTTACCCTCCCCAAGCTGCAAGGTTGTTTGTTTTTAATATTCCAAAAGGTTTCATTTGAATGAAGAAGAAGGGTTTTTTGGACCCAAAGTTTTTTCCCTTTAATACTGCTTTTTAATAATTTCCGTTTTATTTTTTGAAAAGTTGTGGAACAGAAATAACCATAATTTTTCCCCAAAAGGGGGGAGCATTTTGCGTAGATTTCCTCAATTTTTTTCCGTAGGAAATTCTTTTGAAGCAATTCCAAAAAGGGATGGAAAATTTTGCTTAAAAAACTTCCAGGATGAAAAATAATGTGTGATGGATAAAGGAAGGAAATTTTTTGCTTGGACAAATTTAACGAATTATGCCCTTTGTGTTTTTAGAATTGGTGCAATAGGGGAATTTTTCAAAATTTGGTGCGGAAAGAGGAATTGTCAAAAATTGGTGCGGAATAGGGGAAATTGTACTGGTGAGGGAATTGGTAAATTGGTGCCAGAATGAGGGAATTATCTAAATTGGTGCCGGTATGAGGGAATTGGCTAAATTGGTGCTGGAATGAGGGAATTGTCTAAATTGGTGCTGGAATGAGGGAATTGTCTAAATTGGTGCTGGAATGAGGGAATTGGTACTGGAATGAGGGAATTGGCTAAATTGGTGCCAGAATGAGGGAATTATCTAAATTGGTGCCAGAATGAGGGAATTGGCTAAATTGGTGCTGGAATGAGGGAATTGTCTAAATTGGTGCTGGAATGAGGGAATTGTCTAAATTGGTGCTGAAATGATGGAATTGGCTAAATTGGAATGAGGGAATTGGCTAAATTGGTGCTGGAATGAGGGAAATACTTTATATCATACAATCTTAACTTAAGAAATTTCTTCATTTTGTATCTGAAGTAAATATAAGACAAAATCAACATTTTCAATTTTCATTTTATTTCTTTTTTCAATATTTGTACATATTTACACTTACAAATAAGGACATTGAAGGGTCCTTAGCAAAAAATACATCAACATCATATATTTTGTATCAAAATAAACCTGTTTCATAAAAAAGAATCGGGTAGTTTCTTTTTAAGTTTATTCATTTAGTTTCTATATTTTCTTCAATTTAATACAGTGAACAACTAACTATTCTTTAATCTGTATCACATTGCCATCACTGGAGTTAATTGTGGAACTGAACAAAAATATTTGATTTTCATTTAACTTCTGTTACTTTACAGGTATAAGAATTAAAATACAAAATTATAGCAATCATATTTTTTAACAAGCAGAATTCAAACTTAAGATAATACAAAAACAAACTTTAATTGAATGTTCATTCAATTTTGTTACTAATCATTCATCAGTAAGCCTTTAATATATCCCAACATTTTCTATAACGTTGCAATTGACCACACAAAGTTGTCACAATAATTTCTTTTTTATATCCTTTATACATTATATATCCAGTCGACTGCTTATATTAAATGGACAATTACATCCCAACAGAAACAAACATCTAAATTGCATACAAATTTATACTGGTGTGATTTAATTTTAAGTCTCGGTGACACGGTCAAGGTCATGAATATGGCATATTTCCAGCATTACTGGAGGAAGGAAGATTTAAGGTACACTTCTATGCATTATAACAGGCAGAAGAGGGTATTTTAGTAGAACCACAATCCTTCCTAAAGCTAGCTTGGTAGCTTCCTGGCATGAAAAAGTCCTTGTCAAAAATTCAGCATCTGATGTGATCCTGACTTGATCATTCGTAATAAATAACCAGCATGAAATACCCTATTTTAACACCATACATAAGCTTACATTCTGATCTATGTTAGATACAACAAGAATGTAAAAGAATAACCATGATACATTATTAAAGGCAGTTCTTATAATCACAACTTTGCACAAATAGTTTCTCCAAGAAAGAAAAAAAAAACAACACTTTGCAAAAAACAGAGATTGTAAAAAAGCCACTTTGCAAAATTAGGGTCTGTTAAAATAAACCCCATCTCTTCACATCAATCATTATGTTTTATTAACTTAATGTGTAAAAAAAACCACCCTGTCCAACTTGAATCACTTCAACAGGTCCTGATTTAACATGAAAACTATTTAATCCATGTAGAACATTACAATCACATCTTTTAAAGATATCTGTTATTTAATCTGTCAGTAAGCACTATAGTATGATCTGAGTTATATGCTGATTTGATACGACCAATTTGAATCATAACGGACACTTGTCAATTTGCCATGTATCAAAACAATCTGTTCACCATAACTGTTCAAACGAACCACCTCTTCAGAATCTCAAATGAGGCTTGTCTTTAGCCATGTATCTGAAAATAGGAGATAAATTTGTTACTAATATCAATTCTATCAACTTATGATAGATCTTAATGATGGTAAAGTAATAACATATAGTAGCTACCCAAATGATAAAATTATGACAAAATTAACTTATTTGGAAGGTTTGTTTGCTTTTCTGTGGGTTGTTATGCAGATTTTAGTCATATCTTTACGGACAATCCACCGAACCAGCTTTACTGGATAACTAGCCAGTAGTTACCAATTTCTCGGCATATTATTGACTACTAATCCACATGACTACTTAAACCTTAACAATGATTGTCTTTTTAATCTGGACAAAACCATTAAAAAATTCTAAATATATATGTAGTGTAGCAAACAGTGCAGACCATGATCAGACTAACACAAACAAGCAACATGCTGGCTGATCTTATTTCACACTAACTGTAAGGTTAGATTGTGTAGCAGCCAGCAAAAACAAAGCTTCAATCAATTAACATCATTTGTCCAAATAGCCAGCAGTAAGTTTTTTAAAAGAACTATATAAGATTTTATATCTTTCGTTCTAATCCATTTCATCATTGTATATATTGAATGATTGTATATTATGTACTGTGTATGATTATGAATAAAATATGTTTAAACTAAAAGAAGATATTTTAAGTTTTTTCTTTCGGTTGCTATGGCAACCAGAGTTTTGCGTGGAATTAAATTCTTTGAACAATTTTTAAAGGGGACCACCAAAGGGACATTCCTGTAAAGTTTGGATGAAATTGGTTTAGTGGTTTATGAGGAGATGTCGTTTGGACGAACGCCGGATGAAAAGCGATCACAAAAGCTTTGTGACAAGTGAGCTTAAAAACATTCTAGTCATGAAGAGAGCACTTTTGCTCCGAATACAGTATTGTAAAGGGTTACTTACTTATCAAGGACTTCCCAGACAACCTGTAGACTGGCACGGTCTAAATGTCGTCTGTTTCTGTCCAGGTTGACCACTGTAACATTCCACTTTTTAACATTGTTGTCCAGAGGCAATTCACACCATTTCAAATGAAATGCTTTTACTGAAATAGAAAACAAGTACTTAAAACACAGATCACAAGGTTAGTATATTTTCATCAAGTTTGATTTTCTTGAAATATTTTGGCTCATTTTTATATCAATATTTGACATTATTATGGAAAATGTGCCCATTGTAGACCAACTAATTTTAAAATAATGGAATAAAGAACATAAATACTAAAACATAAGTGAAATATTACTGAAGACGATGATAATACATGTAGTAAGTAAATCACAAAACAAAGAGAGTTGATGAAATTGTGCGTACTTTTAGAGAAAATCTCAGTAGGGTTACCATCCCACGGCCAACCTTTAAACTGCCAGGCTGGACCTTGAACAAACACTGCCACTACCCTGTCCCTGTTATAATAATATAAACAAAAGTTTTCCTATAATTATATTTCAGTTACTAATTTATAACATCAAGTGACATTATGCTCATCACAGTGTAAATGGTTGGTTAAAAGTTGAAAATAAAAATAGCTAAAATTGTGTTCAATTTTATTTTTTACTCAGAAAAATAATCAATAATCCATGTAATTGATGGGTTTTGCTATATAATGTTCAAACTGTATCGATAATGCTTAATTCTTAAAAAGGTTGGGGCAGTCTTTTTTTTTTATAATTTCGGTATGTTTAATATCGCATCATACACATTTTTCATTATCAATTATTAATCAATTATCATTATTATAGCCAATCTTTTAAAGTATTAACTAATTCATTATTGACAGCGAAAAAAAAAGTTAGCATAATGTCATTTTAAATATGATAAGAATGAACTTTAACCACAAGTAAAAACATGAATAGTTCCAATATTTCCAACAAAATTTCCAACATGAATATCAGTTGTATCAATAACAATTTGTATTAGCTCTAAAAGAGAATATCCAATTAAAACTTGGCTGGTGTTAGAAACATTATAACATACCAGTCTTCCGTTGTGAGTTTTAAAGCATTATCAATTATTCGGTATGGTACGGTATTTGCACCGGTTTTCCGTCGCTGAATAAGCACTTCATTATCACGTTTGGCACCCTGGGACTTCTTTTCTTCGGTGCCAACATATCTGTAAATAAACAAAATACAAGTCATAAAGGGGCTAGAGCTGTGGCAAGGGCGCGTGGGAGATATTGCACTTCTACATGATCTCTAACCAAACTAGTCTGCAATTATTACATAATATTGTTATTTTCATAGCTTCCATGGGATGATCCATTTTCAAGATTTTTAAAGGGTAACCTTTATTTGGTGGTTGGTAATCCATATAAAATTTGTTTGCGTTTTAACAAACAATTAAATCAATGAACTTAAATTAAAAGACCCAGTGTTATTAAAATTTCTGGGGGAAAAATCAGCAACAACAAAAAACATATCACAGGAGCAAAATCAGAGCTTAATGTTTTCAAATCACCAGAATGAATGTTTTAACCATTTTCATAAAACAATTCAATTGTGTTAAATTAATGAAGCCCTTTCTGTTCCAACTCCTTCAAGATTAAAGCAGGGAAACAAATTGATAGCCTAGATATTTTAAGTTTTGAAATTGGTATAATTTGCATATTCCAACAGTTTACAGAGTTACCTGACACAAGCCTCTTTTGATGATAGCTAAAAATGCGTAAATTCTATAGTAATCACTTAAAATGACAATCAATGCTAAAAGACCTTATTTAGAATCTGTGTCCTTTACCACTCAACAAAATAACCTTTACAAAACATTTGACAACCCTCAATCTAATCATACAATTTTTTTTCCCTGGTACATTTTGAAAGTGGTGGGTGGGGTATAAAATAATGATAAACTTACTTGAGATCTTGTAGAATATCTTTAGCATTAAACATTGTAATAAGGGCTGTTGTTGCTGCTGGTATGATGATGATGGGGGTTCGAGATCCTGAAATATCACACATGAATATTCAGCAAGTGAAACAATCAGATGTACATGTATCTTTCTGTTATAATATAATGTATTTGGGCCGATGGCCTAGAATTACATTACAATAAACTTGAGACTTGAATTCAACAAGTCAACAAATTGACATTCAAGAAATCAACATTTAGAAAATCAATAAATGAATATTCAACAATATTAAACAAATGAATATTCAACAAATGAATAATTGAGAAAATGAATATCCTACAAATAATCACATATCAATAACTGAATATTCAACACATCAATATTCAACATATCAACACTATCAACATTACACAAATGAATAGTTGACAAAATGAATATCAAACAAATAATCAACATATCAACAAAGGCATATTAAACTCATCAACATTCAACAAATGAATATTCAACTAATGAATAACAGACAAAATGAATATCCAACAAATAATAAACAAATCAATCAATGAATATTCAACTGATTAATATTTAATGAATGAATATGATGCATGAAAATTCCAGATTTATTCATTTGCATTTAAGAAAGGTATATGTCATTTATCATGTTCATGCATAAAAACTAGGAAAGAGTGTAAGAGCATCTTTTATACGTTGTGTTAGATCAATCTTTTTTTTTTAGATATTTTTTTCTAAACAATCATATAATCCTGATAAACACTGATAAAAAACTAAAGAAAACTCAATGATCAGCAGAAAAAAACAACAACAAAAAACCACTAAAAGATGAATTTTAACTCTCATAGATGAGTGATAAACAGACAAGTGCCAAACACTCAAAGATCAAAGTACAAACAGATATGTGAAAACACTCACTGATGAGTTAAAAATAAATTAAAATAGACAAGTCTCAAACCCTCATAAAAATGTGTCAAACATTTGTAACATTTCTGGGGCGTCCGTGGCCGAGTGGTTAAGGTCGTTGACTTCAAACCACTTGCCCCTCACCGCTGTGGGTTCGAATCCCGACAGGGACTTTGGATTCTTTCATGTGAGGAAGCTATCCAGCTAGCTTACGGAACATCGGTGGTTCTACTCAGGTGCCCGTTCGTGCCTGAAATAATGCACGAAAGGGCATCTGAGGTCTTCCTCCACCAGTAAAGCTGGAACGTCGCGATATGACCTATACTGTGTCGATGTGATGTTAAACCCAAAACAAACAAATACAACATTTCTAGCATAACATAGTAGGACACTCATTAGTCTAACAAGACAGCACAGATGTGCATGGAGGCCAGAATTTATCTCCTTGGCAACAGTTAAAGATTCTGTTTGTTTTGTGATTGATATTGTTACTGTGTGTATACCACAATTGCAAAAAAATTATAAAAAAAAATTTATATAGAATTTATAGAAAATAAATTTCTAATTACCTCCCTTTATTTACATGAAATGTTAAATTGGGTAATATCTTTATAAATAATGCTTATTGGAACTTACAATATTGACAAATCTTAATTTGAGCATCATATTCATGAAATAAAACCATGTTACAGGATCTTTAATATGTACCATTGGCAACTTTCACAATCACATAAAATTATAATAAACAAACACTCATATTCTACTGCATTACCTTTTTTCTGGTTAGGTGGTGGTCTTGCCTGAGATATTGGTCGGGAAACCTGCTGAGCCGGTTGTGCGGGTTCTGGCTTAGCGGTCTTCCTGGCTGATGCTCCCTCTGTCACAGACTTGAGCGTCATACCGTGGTATGTTCCCATAGTTTCAATGTTAAATCCCTCAGTAGCTGAAACAACACAGAAATGTTCAACAGTTAATCTAAATTGTGTAAGTTTGTATCGATGCATGACCCTTGAAAAATTCCAATTCAACCCGTAACCAGCCTAATTTCTGTAATGGATATGTCCTAATTTAAACTTTGGATAGTCCATTTCAATTTTAAGAGATTTCAATAACAAAATACAAAAATATTACCTTTAACTTTCAAATACAACTTTGAAACCTATTCAAGACCTTCTTAAGCTCAGTCAAAGTTAAAAGTCATTTCATTTTGTCTGTACATTATTTTCAATCGCACAAAAAAAATGAATATTTTCTTCTTTTTCATATTATCACTAGGGCTTGGTGTGTGTGTTGTATGGGGGGATTACACCTGTATAGAAATAAGAAAAGTAATTCACATTTAATTTCTGATCTACAGAAGTAACCTACCCTCTTTTCTCCTGAAACTTTCTTGTTCGTATCTGTTATACCCAGCTACTGGCTGTGGTTTTGGTTGCGGCTGAAATTATATACATAAATATAAATTAACATACAATTAATGAGCTTTAGACCTTGATCAAACTTAATCATGTTTATTTATTTGGTTGAGCTTTATGTCACACCAACACAGGAGAGGTCACATGGCGACTTTCAACTTCCTCGGGGTTCCCTTCTATCAAGTATTTCAGACATGAACCTGAGTACAACTACGGACATTCTATAAGCTAAGCTACTTAGCTTCCTCACACAAAAGAATCGAAAGTCTTTGGTGGAATTCAAACCCATGGCTTGGAGGGATTAGTGGTTTGGAGTTGACAACTTTAACCAGTAAGACATGCACACACTATGTAAGATGTACAGCACCATCAGCATAACATAGAACTAAGATTAAAAGTCATACAACACCAGCACTATCAAGTATAGTCCAGAAAGTCTACTTCAAAGAGTTTCAATGATATCAATATATGAATTTGTTTTGATTGTGAAAGTAAATGAACATATTCAAACCAAAGAGGCAATATTTAAACAAAAGGGGTAATATGGGTAATATCTAAACCAAAGAGATAATATTTAAACCAAAGACATAAGAATAGATGAAAAAGAGATCAGATGAGATATAAATCACTCACCACAGATGGTGTATGAGGGACGCCATGTGTACCTCTAGAACTACCTTCCTCTCTCGCCTTTATTGACTGTAGTAAACTGAATATATTCTTTGCAAATTGCTGAAAACATAAATTATATTATTTCAATGAAAACTAGTTAATTTTGTGAATTAGTTCAAAATTCCATGCTAAACACTGTGATAATTAACTGCTGTTTTTTTTTTGTTTTTTTAAATATAATTAAATATAAAGGATTTTATGCCCCTGGACTAGATGGGGGAAATCCTTATTTGCAGTTTCAGAGTATATCTGTTGTATATTCTTTATTTTGAATTTGTTTGTGTCAAAATATTATCTACCAAATTAAAGCATAGGAATAAATCATTATGTTCAGATGATTATCTCCCTTTGCAAAGGGCCTACAAGTTAAATCATGAGTCAAAGATTACCTCCCTTTGCCATATTAAAGCATGGGTAAAAACGCACTGTACCTTGCCATTGCTCTGTAGAATAGTGGTTCGTGTTCGCCACAATCTTTCACGACTCACGATATCTCTGGTCACGTCAACTTCAGCGTCCACGAAACTTCTCTGTTCTAAAGCTCCTGGCTGTATATCATCATCACCTGGTATGATGAATACAAGATATATTTATTCAATGAAGAGCTTTAAATATAACCCATTACATTATAATTATACCAATGGGGTGGAGTCAGTCTCTCAAGCTGCTTGATTTAAACAAAAATAACATACTGTTGCTGTTCTTAACTTATTATCTTCGAAATAGCTCATCAACATTTGTTATGCTACCCTAAAAATTATAATAAAACACTGAGTTTACGCAAGAATGAAATGCTTTATTTTTCATATTTGTTTTGATAAAGATTTAAAACAAAATAATAAAAATAACTGAATTTCTTTACCTTTAATTTTTGTTCTTTTAATGGCAAGACGTTTTGCTTTAATGGCAGCAATTTTTTCAAGTGGCATAGCTTCGTGAAGAGATGATGACCTAAACACACAAGAATATATCATAAATATAAGAAATAAACATTAAAATAAACAAGGAAACAACTCACAGTGAAAGGCATTTGGCCAAGTACAGCTTAAAGGGACTCAACTGATGTTTGTTTGGGATGGATTTTTTTTTTGAGATTTGTGTACCATTTGATAAAAGACTAGACCAATAGCTCATGTGCAAAATTTAAGATCATATTATGCTCACTCTGTTTTTCCAGAATAATCATTTTAATTATTCAAAATGACAAAAAAGAATGAAAAAAAGAAAGAAAAACATTTAAACCCTTTAAGCTCAGATCAGACTAAATATTGCACAACAATTGATTCGCAGTTAATTCTGTGTATATTTCTTTTTTATCTTTTGCGTATCTGTCCATTTGAAGTTCCAAAGTTGATATATGTTAGAATTTCAAGTCTTATATTTTAAGGGTTTTGAACCTCAGTGGAGCTCCTTTAAGAATGAATACTCAAATCTGAATAGCTCAAACTACTAATACTAATTTGGATGGAATACCCTGATGAGAGAAAATAAAGACATATGAATAGGATCAGTGGTCAAATGGTTAAGGTATCAGCCTCTTGTGGTTATAGTCATGTTTCCTTGTAATAATTAATGGGTCATATTCATGGTTCCTCGTTATAATTAAGAAGTAACAACAACCTGTTTCACATCTGAGTGTAAAGAAGCACATGTATGTTAAAATAGCTTTTTTTAAAAAGAAGACCTACGCAATAGCGGCTGGAAGGACCGAGGTTTCTCTTGGAGCATCAATTTTGTTCATCCAGTTTCTCTTGGCCTGTTGAACCTGTTCCTCCTGTATGCCAACAAGTATACAAACATTACTATTAACAGTTAAACTGGAACACATGTTGGATAGGAAAATGATTTGAAGAGTTTTTTTTTCTTTTTTTCAATTTCTTTTTCTACTGCATCTAGAAAATGAGCTAGCACCTTTGAAACCAGGAAAAATGTGCTTCCATACTTTTAAGTAAGATGGTGATCAATCCAAATCCAAAATATCTCAGAATCTAGCTCAAGATGTCAAATAAGTTTTACTAGATTTACACCACGATAAGTTTTTAATTAGCTTATATACATTTCATACTATTTAGAAATATCAAAAACTTTAATTTACCTCAAGTCTCGGCTTTTTCTTTTCCTGCTCATTTGTAGTATCTTCGGCAGTTCTTTTTACTATAATAAAATGTCATAAAATAATAAATATACTTGACCTACTTATTAGTTGAATTTATCAATACTTTTAATATACATATAATTACAACATGATGAACAAATATAATGTTCTACTTATATTGTTTTTAATATTGATCGCTTTCAAGTATACATTGGTCTATTGCTTGCCATAAATTCATTAAAATATAAATCAAAATTGACATCTAATTTCAAACCTTGTGTGGGTCTTTGTAGAGATATTTCTAGAGGAGCACTTTTGTCAATACTTGCAGAGGTTGATGTGTCACCATTCAGATAGGCCAATAAGTCTTTCCTGTCTGGACGACGTACAACTGGCACATTGCTAGCCTGTAAATTTTATACCCAACATGTTACAGTTAGTTTACAAGTTATAATTATTAAAATGATTTGTCAATTTAAGTCTGTGATTAACATGATACGTGGAAAGTCGGAGCGGGGCCAAAGGCTAGATAACATGTATGACGCGTATCAATTCAAATGAAATCAAATTAAAAGTAAATGAAAATTTCAAAAAAATATATATCCTATACCTAATGAGCTGTGAAAAAATCCTTAGTTAACTGGGCGCCGCCATTTTGAAATCCTTTTGAGCTAAATATAGATATCACAGCGCTTTTAATGAGCGTCTACATAATTCAGACTATTGCTAGCAGACGCATGCTTAATAACACTTCCGGTGAAAGATTGATGTACAAAATCAGAAAATAAACATTCATTTCATTCATAAGAACTATAGTAACGATAGTTAATTTTAAAAAGTTACTTTTAAATCCTTTTTGATAAATTAGCACATTAAAAATAACGTAAAAACAACATATGTGATTAGAGATTAACAGAAAATGGCGGACAGGATTTTCCAAACGCCGACGCATGCGCAGTGGTCCCTCTTCCGATGATAGGATGAACACCACCAATTTATTCGTTTCTGTTAACGTACAAAATACCTGCATTTACTTTTTAACGAATTGCATTATAGATCTTGTTAACATGTACACAAAACATGTTATGCTTAAATCATAAATCATAAGAGCCTTCCACGCCATAGGTAGCACCTAATTTCATATTAAAAACAATCATTTATTATCATCATTATTTTATACTCACAGCAGCCTCTCTGACATACAGGGGATGGGCATATTGCACATTCTTCAACAAGAATAGTATACAATCGAGTGTGTAGTATTCCTTTTGGATCCCTTCTTTACCAGTTCTACAACAAAATAAAACCACATGGAAAGGAAAAAATACTTCCACTTCAAATTTTCTAGCACTGCATTATCATTTCATTTTTGACATCGTCGTTGTCTTTCATCTGACACTACTAACATTGGATAATTCATAATGATTTGATGAGTAGATTTCTAAAAACATAACTGTTCATGCTTTTGACAATTTAGACTACTGGTAACACTGATCATGCTGATTAAAACTTTTTTCTTCAAGTTCAACAAATTATTTTAAAAAGATCTTACCCCCATACAAGGTAGTTCGTCTTCACATCTTTAGGCCAAGCAAATTCTCCAAAGATAATCTGATCATCCTTTTCTATTATCTCCTTTTTATTGATGTTGTACTGCCTCAAAATGCTCAAAACATCAGCCATCTTCAAAACCGGAAGTTAAACTGAATCTCGATTTATACTCTCTTAAAAAGATATTTTCATACATTGTTTTAAAATGTGTATAGTATTAAAAAATTTCTGATTTGATAAGATAGAAAAATATTTATAGTGTTAAAAATGTGGCAATGATATGGTGTTTATAAAATGAAACTATTTTTCCTGAAGTATATTTACATTTATTTAGAGATTATTTTCAAGATGGCTGCGCCCATGATTATTTGCGAGACTGATACACAGGTTGCAGAAAAGCTCTGTGCATTTGTTATTGCTAAAGCAAATGAATCAATTAAAGCAAACGGGTCATTCTACGTTGGGTTGTCAGGTATTGACAAAAGATATTTAAATTTCATGGCTTAAAAAAGCATTGCTGACGATTTATCTTGCTCACAGGGGGCCCACACAGTGTTTGGATGGTATATACTGCTTGATAGTGACCTTAAAATGAGATTTTAGTCATAACCTTATAATATGTATAATATGAAATTAGGTGCTACCTATGGCGCGGAAAGCTCTAATGAATTATGATTTTAGCATAACATATTAGTGTACATGTAAACCAGATCTTTCTTGAAGATATTTTGTACCATAAACAAAAACGAATAAATTGGTGGTGTTCAACCTATCGTCGGAGCGCTCGGAATATTCCGAAAATCTCCGAACGTAAAGGGGAACCTCTGCGCATGCGTCGGCGTTCGTAAAATCACGTCCGCCATTTTTGTTAATCTCTAATCACAGTTGTTGTTTTAACGTTATTTTTAATGTGATAATTTATCAAAAATGATATGTTAAAGAAACTTTTTAATACATAATCGTTACTTTAATTCTTATAAATGAAATGCAGGTTTATTTTCTGATTTTGTACATCATTCTTTCACCGGAAGTGTTACTTAGCATGCGTCTGCTAGCAATAGTCTGAATTATTCAGACGCTCATTAAAAGCACTCTGATATCTATATTTAGGTCAAAGGGATTTCAAAATGGCGGCGCCCATTAACTAAGGATTTTTTCACAGCTCATTAGGTATAGGATATATTTTTTTTGAAATTTTTATTTAGTTTGAATTTGATTTCATTTGAATTGATACGCGTCATACATGTTATCTAAGAGCGCTACAGCCCTCGCGGGGCCTTCGGCCCCGCTCGGACTTTCCGCGTATAAATATAGACAAGGGGCATTACTCGCTAAATAGAGAATTTTCGATCACCCTCAAATTCATGCGAGATTTTCCACTAATTAAATAAAAAAAATCCAAAAACTATACTGCGTTGCATAGCTTATATAATCCACAATTGATAAACACTAACTCTTTTCTGATTCCCTTAGCCCATTTAAAAAAATTTATTCAAAACCGTTCACTTCTGTCACAAAATTGCTTAGTCGTACGAGATGTCGCAACACCAAATTCCACGGATAAAATATCAATTTTAAAAGGGGTAGGTACAAATAAACGCATGCAAACAATAACACAACATAGTTTCTATTACCTACCTGCTCAAATAGTCGTGAAGTGCTCTATATTCGTCTGTTTCGAACGAAATCTTCAAATCAGTGCAGAAATAGAGGATATATATAAAAACAATGTAAATCTATTTTCTTTATTAACATTTATAAATGAAATTGAAAATATACAACTAAATTTGTATAGTCCTTTCTTTGAAAAATAATGAAAATAAACATGTGATAAATAAATCATTTGACGTGAATTGTGAAAGATAACTATGAAAAAAATCTGTTTCAAAATAAAAAATAATTTTATAAAACAGCTGTTCTGTATGCCAATAAAAGTTTATTCTTTGCCAATCTAATGAATTCATATATATATGAACGCTTGTCTAGAATGATCTGAAAATATATTTAATTAGTAGAATATTTACTATATTTATACTAATATACAGGTAATCAAATAAAAAATGTACAAATCATTTGAATATAATTTACAGAAATAAAGACACATTTCAAACATGAATTTCTATAAAAGTTTTTTAGCAATCAAGAAACATTTTTTTGCAATGCCACCATTAAACCATGTAAAAAATAATTATCTTATTCTGAATCGCGGTAATAATTCGTGCTTGAAGTAAAAGGGCGCCAAAGTGTAGAGAGTATGCCTAAACAATAGGCGAATATTTTTTAAATTAGGTACTTTTTAACTAAGCGTTGCAGCGTTCTATCGGCATATTTTCATATATTAATACTTTAGCGACACAAAATAATACTGTATCAATACATTCATAGGTGTATAATTTTTCACAAAGCTGCAATAACACCTCATACTCTTGTGAAAATCTGTCATATTTCGCACTCCGCGCGTTCCTCCATCTCATTCTGTCCACCTTTATCCGATTCCGCGCATGCGCGCGACGGGACTTTAAGCTAAACGAAAGTGTCCGATCCTTGTAATATAAATCCGTGTTTAGACCACAGGGTCTGGATATTGCATAGCATGTTTCTACCAATGAATCAATGTTATAGACATGAATACTGAGCCACGTAAATAAACTGGATCAGACCTGTTACGAAATCTTACCAGAAAAACACTGTCACATTCGTTGAACTCACAAATCCTCTTATTACAATCTTTGTATACTGTGCTCCTCTTAGTTCATGGTACATAATGGTTTGAAACCAGAAAGAAAACAACAAATGAAACTTATGGTACAAAAATTGCCATAAGCTATAACATTTAGGTATTTTCTGCTGTATGTCACAAGGAAACAACAATTTATTTAGTCAAAGTCAATTTTACTGGACCAAACATAGACCACGTGTCGGCCATTTTGAAAACAGTATGTCATCATTTAAATCGCGGTAATGGTGTTACATTTCAGTTTTTTCATGTTTCAGTTAATATTTCTACATGTTATTTTGCTTGATTTCAAATATTAAAATTATCCTTACTTTGTAACTTAAAATTTAGTTTTTCAACAAACAAGAACATTTTGAAAATGATGATTGTTTCAGACATATGCACAGATTTAATGGACTATTATTGCATTTTGCAGAAATTTGTAAAATGTTGTTCTGTTTTACGTAAAAATCTAGAGATTTAAAATATTTTGCACAAAAACTTTGTTGTATAGGTGTAACTATGAATAAAATATATCAATTCTGGCCAATTTTGACACTGGTCACATGAAAATATGCTATTACCGTTAAATAAATGATGACGCGGAATTAGTGATGTTGAGTATATAATGTACATTATTCAATAAAACAATTACATTTGAATTTGAACATCAGTCTATGAATTTTAAGTATTAAAATACAAGTGCAGTCATTTTAATTGCCTGCTTCACAGTGATACATCACTTAAAGGGCTATGGCACTTGTAGTATCTTCACAAGAACTCATATGACATAATTCTCTCAAACCACTATGAAAGAGTACAGACATGTAAATATTATAACATCATTCTATCATAATAATATAAATAAGGGTAATGCTGAAGACCATCAGCTAAAATATGGCAAACAAGATACATTCTTAAAATACGCTGCTACATTTGCATCATACTTAACTTACTTCAAATGATCAAATCTTTAGTTAAAAATATTTCATATGAAAATAAGTGCAGTGTTTTTGCAAATGAATACATTTTTTAAAGCAAAAATTTCAAAAGAAAATATGTGTATGTGCAACATAAATACAGGTATATATTTATAAATTGGTTTGCCTATAAGATTATAATATCTGTATATTAATTTTGATAACTAGCGTGTACCTCCCTAGACATCACTTGAATCTGCGGTTGTTCTGACCAATGCTCAACCCCAGCGCCGCTCTTCCTCTATTTGATCAGGATGTTTACAAGTCTGTCAAATTTGATGTGTTCAGCAGATTCTGAGATTATTATCGGCCAGAATCTTGCTAGAGGTGGAGATACTGCTCATATTTAAAATAACTCATTATTCTCTCTTCTGAGTATAGTAAGATGGACTTGATGCTTGTTAGCTTGTGTAAGTTGAAAGTTCATATATATTTACAAACACGTTTTATGTAATTATGACATATTCATGTTCTTTTGTGATCGCTTTTCGTCCGGCTTCCGGTTTGTTCGAATAAAAGCCCTGGGGTTTAAACTGGCCCCACTCTGGGGGGCCTATATACAGGTGAGCGACTTCAGGGCCATCATGACCCTCTTGTTTCTATTATCTTGATGTTATACATTGAAGGTGGTAGTTTAGTGAAGTACCTGTGCAATGGGCTCCCACAGTTAGATACAGACTGGAAGAAATGGAGGATATTTTTCTGTGACGAGCGACATGTACCTTACAATAGTGATGATTGTACATACACGCCATACAAACAAGGTCTTGTTGATAAAGTTGGAATGTTGGAGAATAACATTTTCCCCATAAATCCAAATTTATCAGGTAATTTGTAATTTCATAAATTACACATGAACACTTAAGTCACTTTGTTGTTTATACATGTAATATAATTTCTGACAAAGACACTGATTTTAAAAATGCAGAATAGAAATCTTTTTGGTTCTTCTAATTTTTGAAAATATTGAAAAACTAGCCATGAAATAGATGAATTATTGACAGAAATATGTGCTGAAATGATTCGTTTAAAATGTGAAAAAAATCAGTCAAAATAACACTTCACAAAGTACAAAACCCTGGTCAAAATAACACTTTACTATATAATACAAAGGTACATTGATCTTTCTATATGCTTTCATTGTGCGTTTTTTCCAGTTGAAGACAGTGCTAAAGACTATGCTTCAAAGATCCGCCAGCATTTCCCCGGCAACGATCTTCCTCGATTTGACATGCTGTTGTTAGGCATGGGTCCAGATGGTCATACTTGTTCCCTCTTTCCTGGACACAAACTTCTGGAGGTAGGGTTATTTTAAGGTCAAACCCATAATTTTGTCAAATTTTTTGGTTTCTTGTTACAGTTTCCAAAAAATACTCATTTTCCATATACATTATGTTTTGGTGATTTTGTTATGTGGGAAGTTTGTATAATAGTGAATTAGTATTTTGTATGGAAGTGAAAATACCACATGATTTTACTTTGTTCACATTTTGCTACCTTTACAACAAATTACTGCATTTTCAGTGCTATTTCTTCACTATGGACTTTTTAAGGCGTAATGTACCTTTAAAAGGATTTGTCCAGCTTTGACTGTAAGAACAGTCCATATAAGGTTTTAAGGGATTTCTATATCAAAATACAAATATTAAGCTATCAACACTATATACCCTGGTCAGACTGGCTGCATGTATATGTAGACTGGTCTGTCTTCATACTGGTGGCAAAGGGAAATTACTCTGTTTAAACTTAAGGGTGTAAGTTGAGCAACATAGCAGGTTGTCTATCTATCTCTGGATACTGCCATATCTTACGAGTGTTATAGGTAGGAATTAAGTGCATGTCTGATTGTTAGTAAAAGGTGAAAAGAAAGGCTAAAAAAAGAAAAGTCCAAGCATTATAAACATGCTAGGAATGTGAGACTGAAAATGTATTCTAGTCATGGTTAAAATGTTAATGGTGAAACAAGATGATAAGAGATAAAATAGTTTAAATCAGGTGCTGTGCTTGAACATTGCACCATTTGATATATTCTAAAGTACCGAAGTACATTTGCATTGTAGTTATTTACTTAAAATGATCAAATTGTCAAGAAAGAATATCTGATATTCATGAAAGTTGTAATACTGAAATTAAAAAAAACGAAACTTTCAACTTTCAACAAATACTTTGTATTCATAATTTTAAATCTTAAAATCTGAATTCTTCAGAAAAAATATTATGTTCAATATAAAAAAATGTTTTAGATAAAAAAATTTTTACCTACCTACCAAACCCAAACCAGCAAAGGATGTAGGAGGGGAAACAAGGGTTGGTAGGACTTAATGACGCTTTACTAGACTTGAGTAATGTTAGTCTTTGTGAAACAACAACTGATGTAAAATCCTCATTTATTTTTGTCAATCTTCATGTTTAGGAGAAGGTTGATATTATAGCCCCTATCTCAGACAGTCCGAAGCCACCACCAGCACGTGTTACCATGACATTTCCTATGATCAACAATTGTAGATATGCTGTTTTTGCCTCGTGTGGTGAATCCAAAGCAGAAATGGTCCAGGTATGAATATTCTTTTTTTCATTTTGTCGCAGCCTAGGTAAGTTTTAAATGTATTTACTCTTAAAATGTTATCACTGTTTCCAAGCACGTAATACATCTTCTAACGTTGATTTTAATTTTGATTTAATCAAGGTAGGTGTACAAATGTAAAGATCAGTACCAGGGTAATTTGTCACCTTTGTACTTTAGTCCACTGGACTGTATAATATATTCACATGGGTACAAGTTTTCAGGCATATGCCTGAAGTTCAGTATTTTTTTCTACTCCTAAAAGCTCTTTTTCCTTATAAGATCTATTGAAATGATTGTAAATTCGCAGTTTTCAGGTTTTCTGATATTTTTAACTTGCAACAATGTATTCATATTGGAAAGCTATACTGCCAACATTCAGTCTTACTAATGATTTGTATTTATTTCATGTTACAAATGATTTATTTCATAATTCATGTGCATCTAAAACATCAAATTAATTCTTTACCTGTGGAAGGCTACAGACTCTACCCATGCAACCAGTGCAGACCAAAATCAGACAGCACACGCATGCCATCTGAATATAGTCTGTACTGTTTGCTTGATTCAGTCAAGGCATACATTATTTTAAAAAAATTTCCTAAATCAAAATGAATAGTTTTGTCCTGATTGCAAGATGGGCAAGTCAATTTAAGATATTTAGCATATAATTTGGGTTATACTTAGGAAAAAGGTCTTGATTTTGAGTGTGTTGTAGTGTAACATCGCATGGTAGTGTCAGTGAGTTCAGATGCGCAGGAATATAATCATAAAGGCTGTGAGGCATTAGTGATTTTATGACTTGGCACCTGAACAATATACAATGCAATATTACACCATAATGCACTCTATTTCCATTCTTACACTTTAGAAGAGAAATTTTACTGGACTATATTCATATCATGCGGCGATATTTATTTTCGCCTCTGTTGTTAATAGCAATGAAGAATGAATTTTAATGGCTGTTCCTGAACGAGATTGCTGATAATTCTGAAATTTATGAAAATAAGAATTGCTAGTGCATTGTAGCATGTTTTCAGCCTTCTATGTTTATATAGAAATTATCTGATACTTTTAAAAGGAAGAAATTTAAGAAATAATGTAGTTTCTATTTTAATTAAAGAAATCATTTGCATTCATTATTATAGAATTGTAATGACTTAATAACATGCTATATGACCTAGTAACATAAACATTTCTTTGCTATAAAAGTTTACTACTTTTTAAATTGGCCTTTTAAAATTGACCATATAACCTATTTAAGCTTACAACATTTTAAAATTGGCCATATAACTTATATAAACTTAAAACCTTTTAAAATTGGCTTATAACCTATATTAGCTTACAACCATTTAAAATTGGCCATATCAGCTATATAAGCTTACAACTTTTTCAATTTGGCCATATAACATATATAAGCTTATAACCTTTTAAAACTGGCCATATAACATAATTATATAAGCTTACAACCTTTTAAACTAGGCCATATAATCGTCACTTTAAATATTCTGTATAATTTCATACGACTATCATAGTAGAATTTTATATTTCAGAGAGTGTTAGAAGGTAATGAATCTCCACCCTTGCCAGCTGCGCAGGTTCGGCCAACAAACGGAGAGCTCCACTGGTTCCTTGATAAACCTGCAGCATCCAAATTAAAAAATAAACTGTGACTGTGATACTTGTATTTAAATAATAAAAGGTGCCCCTTTGTGAGGTAGTTGTTTAAAGTGGCTTGCCTCCAGATTTTTCTTTTTAATAAAAAAAATTGTTGTAAAGTAAACAAATAAAATCATTTTACCTAGACTATGGCACCTAGTACTACCTGAAACTTGTCAAAATATACAGATACTCCTCTTCACTGTATTAGTAATGAAGTTTTGGTAATAAAATAGTAAATCATGTCATATTTTGCATAATACATTCAAAATTTTGCCTCAATTTGAATATTTTTACAATCCTTCAACAATAAATATATATATTTTTTAAGTTTAATTTTTAGAAGAGTTATGTTACTTATCTGGTGGCATGCCACTTTAAGTTATCTACTTAGAGGTTACTATGGGACAAATCTTGTTAGACAGGATTGAATTCCTTCATATGACCAAGCTATCCAGCTAGCTTACACAAGAAGTACATAATAATAATAATATATATTTATGAAATTAAATTATACAGGACTTATCTTTTTAGCAAGAAGAGATATTTATGTACATGCAAATTGCGTGACTAGGGAATTTAACATTCTTTAAAACTAAGTTTTTGAATGGTATTTATGAAAGCTTCAGTATGGTAACTGCTTAGTGTTATTTTAGAATTTTTTTTTCTTTTTCAATACAATATACATGTATTTTACTTTTGCTTTCTGTAAAATTTTTGCCACAATTTAATTTTATGCTTTGCTTAAATTTTACCATTAAGACTTATGTACAGGACTGAAATTGTTTTTAATCTAGAACAGTCAACTGTTTTGGGATTTTAATATTATAATAATTAATAGAACTTCTGACAGTTAAGTTTTTTCCTTAGACTGAATACACATAGCTTGTTGTATACTGGTGACTGGCCAGTCATTATCAATGCTAGAATTCAGCCAATTATTTAGCCATTTAACTTCTGTTAAGCCAATTAACAATTGTGTATCCAATTGAAATATTATTGCATTGTCAATACTAGCATTATTACATATAACTAGATTTATATTTGGCTGCATAAGAGAGGTGAAAGCTTAAAAGACATAACACAAGGACAGGTTTTAGAATAATTTATTTTCTGTCTTCCTGTTCCAGTCAACAAGTGACCTTAATCAGATTTATATTTTGTTTATTTAAACAGAAATATGTATATGTATTTGGAATACTGAAATATTAAATGCTTGAAAAGCAATTAAGTTAAAGATGTTCTTTTATTTGTCTTGTAGTTATTGTCAGTCAAAACTGCATTACATATCTTTTCTGCAATTTTTAACAAAGTATATTTGATTTCAATATAATTTTATTTAAAATGTATGGACTTTTTTGTACAAAAGTTTTTTTGTAAACAGACGCATTTCCTATTCAGTGTAAAGATATATTTTATGGTATTTCAATTATGTCAATTATACAACACATGTCCAAAGAAAACTGAAAGCAAGATAATTTTGTCTAAACATGTTTATGTCCCAAGATATTTTAAATCTTCCTAATCACCCACTTTATATCATCACCATCAACATATCATAACTTTTCATCAGCATCATCACTTTTCATCATCAACATCAAATCATCATCATTATCACTTTTCATCATCAAAAAATCATGACATTTCATCATCCGTATCACTTTTCATCATCATCATATCATTATCATTACTTAATCATCATCAGCAATGTTAAGCATGGGGGTCATCATCATTACTGCCAGTGCCATAATTCACCACCAACATAATAGTACCATCATCCACCATCACTATCAACATTCTCATTTCTACCAGCACAATTATTTGCAACATCAATGTTTTGCTAACACAGTAATGGTCATTGACGTTCATGCTTTACTAGTGGAGGAAGACCTCAGGTGCCCTTCCTAGCATTGTTTCAGGCAAGAATCTGAGAATAGAACCACTGATGTTCCGTAAGCTAGCTGGATAGCTTGCTCACATGAAAGAATCCATAGTCCATGCAGGGGTTCGAACCCATAGTGGTAAGAAATCATCATTCAACAATACAATCGAAACCATTTCCACAACTACCACTTTCATTATCATCATTTTAACATTCCCAGCACCATTATAACAAGAAGATCACATGTATTACCATTTCGCCATAAACTTTTTGCTAAAACCACTGTTGCCAATTACCATAAACTATGTAATAAACACTACTGCCCTAATAACTGCCCCACTAATGTGTTTGAACAGAAAAAAGTTTAAAACAAAACTAGCTAGGACAATTACTGCTATCTATTCTTTATAAGCACTTCGTTAACGCTAAATACAGTAAAGCAAGATTTAACAGTCTCGATAATTGTAGATAATCTACGATCCATGGCACGTAGATGATGACGGGAGATCACAGGGGCGATAGGATCTGTGGACATAACCGACTCGATAACTTCGCTGAGTAAACCTTCTACATACATATGTAATCTCAACCATGTTGACTCTCTTATCCTGAAATTTATTTTAAATATTAAATACTCGTCAAATTTTACTGCCAATTATGATACTTATTTAAAACTAAATATTTGGTGTTTACACTATTTAAAAATATAATTGGTGTTTATTCGATGTTTTCAAGATGACAAAGCTCACACATATCAAGTTCAAAAACTTTTCCATGATAGAATATTGACAATATAGATTAATGTCCCTTGATTTTGGTTACAGAAAGATAAATACATGACCTAGCTATGAATAGTAGGAATATCTATTTTTAGCCTTAATGACCTTGACCTAATGACCTATTGTAACCCGAAACAGGTTGAGACCAATGCAAGGTTCAAACAATAAATATGTAATATATTGGTCAATAAATGAAGGAAAATCATAGTTTTGTACCAATGACCTTGACCTAATAACCTGTAACTCAAATTATGAGTTTTGATGTTAATTTCAGCTAAATTAAAAAAACAAGTATGTTAAATATTAGTCAATAAATGAAGGATTTTTTTTTAAGTCTCAATGACCTTGAACTAATGACCTGTAACCCTAAAAAGTGTTGAAATCAATGAAAGGTATTACAACATAACAAATATGAAATATATTAGTAAATGAAGGTACTATGAGAAATGTAAAGGGTGATATTGACAATAATACATAATTTAATACTTTACCTGCAACACTGATAGAGAGGAGCTAATATTGATCTTTCATCATAATGTGGATTACCATAACTGAAATAAAAGTTAAACTTACATTATTTAAACCATTTACCCTGCATAGTTTATACAATGGACTTGTCCAAGATTGAATTCAGAATAGTCTTTCATGAGTCTGAGGGACTCCAATATCAAAGTGTCCAGACTTTAATATCAAAATCACAAAACTGAGTGTCCAAATGTTTAAAAGTAATATATAATATATTTTTACAATTAATCTTTTTAGGCAATGTGATGTAAAGATAATAAGTTTAATATAATGTTTGTTAGTTTGATTGACTGTCTGGTTTTAACACTGATTTCAACACATTTTTTCAGCAGTCTATCCTGGATAACTAACTGGATAACTAACCAGTAATACTTTCCTGGATAACTAACCCGAAATTACCAACTTCTCTGTGGCATGGCCAAGTGGTAAACGCGTCAGACTAGTAATCTCAAGATGGCTAGCCGTATGGGTTCAAACCCCGTCAGGGTCAAGTCATTGTTTCCTTCAACAAGAAACTTTACACTCATTGCTCAGTACTGGTTGGTTCCAGGAACGGATTCGAAAGTGTGTCTATACGCTTATAGCTTCCTACACAATTGAACTAAAATAAATTCTGAATAAACCAACTTCTCTGCAAGTAGTGGACTACTAATTCCACATAATAATCAGTTATGAGAGACAAATAACCATTGCATTCCATGTTCTAGATCAATTGCCAAAGAGAAATTTCGCATCTCCCAAGGATCAAACCAGCAAACTCTAGAAATTAAATCTGCTGCTTACCTATTAAGCTTAGGGGGCAGACAAGGTTATGATGAGAACATTCTAAATATTTATCTGGTAATAATGTAAACATTCTTAAAATCTACTTTTTTGCAGCAAACTTTTTAGAAAATTATGTAAACGTTCTCAAAATTTACCTTTTTGCATTATCTAATATTAGCATTACAGCGTATTGATCATCGCCTAAAGTTTCGTAATGATGTCTGTCCGCATTTCCTATGATATAATCAAACACGACTGTGTCGATAATGTCGAGCAGTCGAGGACCTTCTTGAAACAATGGTTTTGTCAGAACTGTTCCATGACAATAATTATCGTCTTTCTCCCATCTACAAACCGAATAAATCAGCTGTAACTCATACAAGTAACATTGTTATAACAAGTACTGCCAAATTGTTATATAACAAGTACTGACAAATTGTTATTGTGTAGGTTATTTTCGTGGATTGGGCAAATCCATAAAATCCATATAAATTCTATTTCATCTTCTGTACAATTTTTTTACATAACATTACAATGTATTTGCAGTTTATTCTTTAGCAAAAACAAATCTACGAATCTAAGAACCCACGAAAATGTCCCTTTTGAAAAAAAAACACAAAATTTTATGCCCACGAAATTAATAAAATACAATATTTCATGCCCACAAATGTTAGTGAATTTACAGTAAATTAAATAATTGTTTTCCATTTTTAACAAATGAATGACACTAAATTCCAAAGGATGTCTATTCCCAGTTGGTCAATATCATTAAATTTAATAACAAGAAGTTATAAGAGCTTCATTTTTCAAGAAATTGATTTAAATTGTTTCGGTTTGCATGCCAAGTCATATTCATTGCTGACTTTCGCAGCACGCAGGGTTATAAGTACATAATGTATTATTCACTACAATAATTACTCTATTTTAATTTAACAAATTATTACCCTTATGAACATAGAAAATCCTAGTATATACTCTTGATTTATTGTTTTGCAAATAGCTGAGCGTTGCCTGATTGTATTCACATGATAATATATGTTGTCATAAAACAAGAATTTATTTAAAAACGAGGAAACAAAATAACTGTCACTTACTGAGCAGATACCCCATTTCTGTAAGTTCTTGACCACGGGTGCCGATGTAGTTTTAAAGTGACCGTATCTGGTAACCACAGAACTATTGTTCCCTCCATATATACCCCATTACCACATAATCCCGTCTCCTCACCCTAAAAATAGAATATTAAAAGCATAAGAAATTTTAACCCTAAATTTGTATAATGGATTGGTCCTGCTTTTGGAAATGGAACTGTCCATTGCTATTTCAAGGGAATTTCATAGTCAAAATGCTTAAATTAAGCAGCCAATAGTACAGAATTTATACAGACTGTGTGAATATGTAGGCTGGCATTGGTCAATACTCAAGACGAAGGCAAGTACTAATTATTTTCACTTAATTTTGTGGGTATGAAATTTTGTAGTTTTGTCAAGGACATTATTTTGTGTTTTTATTTGTTTGGGTCGTCAGACCAAACAAATAATGGTAGCGAAATTTCAGACCCTGATGCTGTTAATTGCAAATGCCGAAAGTAGTCCTCTTTTTGAAGTGGACACTTCCCTTTATATGTACACTAATGCCGAATAATTCAGGGGAGGGGAGATCACTGCGTAAAGATGGTCAAATGACAGGCGCATTAATTTTCAAGCAAAATAGTTCCCGAATGGTCGAAGATTTCTAATATTGTTTTATTCTTTATAGATATACATGCTTATAGTAAGCTCCATGATTATTTACATCTGTGTTAAACGAAATAATACTCATATAAACATACCATAAAGAACAATGTAATTTTAACATTCTGCCAGCTCTTTTTCTTCTTCAAAATTTAGAAAACAACCTTGACCTTCACTTTTATTTAAACCATAGTTGTGTATGCTTTATCCAGCAGTTTAACATTGTAATTCGTCCATCAGAATGAATACAAATTATTGTAATATTAAAACATACCTTGCAATAATAACATTTTCCATAGAAACATGTATTATTTCCTCGTTTGAAAAATGTCTGTAGCAACTGTTGCTTAGCAACAGGCTTAATCTCAGTCTCCAGGTTAACAACACGACCTACTGCCAGAGGCGTTCTACGAAAGTCCAACAATCTGTAAAATATGTGATATATACCATAATGAGTTTCTTTTTAATATTCAAAATCTGATCATTTCAATAATGTAATAATCTAATCTTTTTGAGAAGTGTTTTCTCTAGTACAATGTCGCCATGATACCATTGTAACTTATACATTTTTGTTGTCCTTGTCTCTATGTCAATGCCATTTTCAAGGTCATACATGTTTGGCAAGTTTCCAGCCTTCACAATCATAGAACAACTTAAGTGTCCCTCTTGTGTTACACTTTGGGACAGCTGGATAGAAGGTTCGTCCTTCTGTAATGAAGTTGGATAGCCTCAACACAACTAGAACATCATACAAACATTTCTACCTTGCAGCAGCAGAGAGCCCACAATTTAAATCAAATATACGTAGCTAAACATTAGACTTTTAAATCAAATATACATAGCTAAACATTTAGACTTTTAAATCAAATATACATAGCTAAACATTAGACTTTTAAATCAAATATACATAGCTAAACATTTAGACTTTTAAATCAAATATACATAGATAAACATTACACTTTAAGACTACATTAAAAGCAAGGAATGTTCCCTATATCATTACTTTACTGCAGTAACAGGTTAACTCCTACTGAATTATATAAGGAGTTTACCCTTTACTGCACTAAGGTGAAGTTATGGAAATTCCAATGAAATGGTATTGGCTAATTGCAATATAATTAAATATTCATATACAAATGTGTTTATTTTATTATCATAGAAATATATGAGACCATCTAGGGAGCTGTAAAAAGATTGTTGTTACCTTGATCTTCTCTTTTTTAAAAACCCATTATCTTTTCTGAGCATTTTCTCAAACAGACTTTATAAGACAAAAGTTTGCTTTGATGGTAAAAGTGTCTGTTAAGCATAAGTGTGACCTTCACCTACAGAAGTGTGTCCTTGATCTTTAAAAATAGGAATGCATAATCTGAATGCAAAATATTTTACTCAGTTACACATAAATTATTTTTTAATCCTGTAACATTTTACAAGAATTACAGTTCAGACACTTTGCACTTTGAAGTGTGACCTTGACCTTTGTGAAAGTGATAAAGGTCACAAACAAGACATGCTTAAATCTGATTATTTTCAAAATTTGTACAAAATGTATAAGTTCTGATGAAATTTCCTAAATATCAAATATTTCATCTTCATATTCAAGGTAAAACTGGGGTCAAAGATCATATGAAAATAGTTTTTGTCTAGAAATGTTATAACTCTTGCAATAAGTATATGTTATGGCTGTAAATAGACTAGGACATATAGGCCCATCAATTTACTTAAGCAAAGGCATAACCTGCTTATATCTTACATGTACTTTAACTTCCATCTTTCTATCTAGACAAAATGATTCATCACTTTTTGAGAAAATCTCGAAATATCTCCTGGCTGAAAAGTGAACAGTGCAAACCATGATAAGATGGCACACATAAGCTGGCTTGTCTTGGTCTGCACTGGTTGCATGGGTAGAACCTGTAGTCACCAGAACGCTAAGGGATAAGAAATGATATTTACCTTCCAAGATGAAAAGCAGCAATTTCTCCATTATGTCGATCCTGACCAGCATATGGTGGTCCTTCAATCACATGATCTCGAGAAAACCTGACCCAGATATAAAATCTACCATTATTGCATGATTAAGTTTGACAACTGGGTGTTATTTATAAGGTCCAATATTAAACAATGTCATGCACATTATTGCACCATCTTTTAAACCAAACATTTATTTTCTTGGGTTTGTTTTGTTTTGGTTGGGATTTTAGTCACTGCACCAACACTTTTTAGAATTTATATGGCAATTTTCAGCTTAACTGGTGGAGGAAGCCTTAAGGTGGCCCACCTGAAGCATGACTTTAGGCATGAGTGGGCATGTGAGTAGAAACATACAATAAGCTAGCTGGCTAGCTTCCGCACTTGAAGGAATATGTGACGTGATTCTAACCCACAGCATTGAGGGGGAAGTGATTCAAAGTCACTGACCTTAACCTTTTTTCCTGTCATGATCAAACAACGAAATGTATACAGAGTAAATGTCAAAATGATTAATATCTATTTTCCTGTTATGTTACATTCATTAAATGAAATCTTAAATTTTTTTACCATTTTGGTTTGAAAACAGCTTTCTGACCTCCTTCCAGTAAAACAGTCATCTTGAGTTGTGTCCCTTTGTATCCCACATCGGCAGATATGATCTTCCAGGTGGCCATTGCATTTAAAACAGCTCCTGAAAATAAACCAATCAAATGCTGAATAACATGTGACCTCATGTCAATGCATTCTATGGAGAAATTCCAGTCTATGTAGATGTCACATGGTGAGAAAAATGCGCAGTCTGACCGGGACTTTCAGAATACTGTTACCCGGCTCTTCTGCCTGAGCTATCCGGCTGCTTATACACATCTTTTCCCCTTAATAGTGAAAAGTGCTAAACAGTGACATAGAGAAAACTTTTCTGTTCCAGAATAAATAATCACTTATATTTTTTAGCCTAATTTAAAGCCAATATTGGGCCATAATCCCCAAAGAAATTTTTTCTTTTTTTCTCCCAATTCTAGGCCAAATATTCTTAATTGACATCAAATAATCTCTACATTTACAGCTGAAGAGGACTAGTCTTAGAAAACAGCTGTAACTCATATTACATATTGAAGGAGTTACATCTGTTTAGCACTGATATCCATTAATATGCAAGTTTGATAAAAAGGCTCCACAACTGCTCTTTGGCAAACTGAAATTCTGTTGAACTCAGGTACTGGTATAAACCCAAAACCAAACTAAAACTTGTGGGGAAAAAACAGGCACAGGGCATAATTTTGTTTATTTGAACTCAACTGAACTGGTGATGATGATCCATACATATAATGAGAAAAGTACAAAAATTTTCACACTGAAAACATCATAGAATTGTAAAACAGGCAAGATTTTGATCTATCAGACTACAACATATCCCATGGGAAATAAATCTGAAACCAGATTTTTGAAAATCAACAATAAAACTGCCCATATGCATGGTGAACAAGGTCTGTATGCATATCAATAATATTAGAAACTCAGATTACTGCCTAAAGAGGGTCATAATAATAATAACAACAGCATCAACCATTCATTTGATTAAAGTTTCCACTAAGATCAAAGTCATTGTTGAATGATTGACAGCTCTGTACTTGTAATATTTAATTCTGTAATGGATTAACAGCAGTGTGGAGCACTCACTGACCTTAAGTTCAGACAATATGAATTCTGTAATCTTTATATTAAAGAGTATCAATCTATATTGTATATCTTCTTTTTGCTGTCTGTAGTTAACAAGTTTTTGGGTTCTTTTTATTTATTTTTGAAAAAGGATATTTCAAAAATATCTTCATGAGTCAGAAATATGTTTGAAATTTGTAAGAGCAAAATGTGCATAGGTACATGCATAGAATCATTGTTAAATGGTAAAATCCCTAACAGCATAATATTTTGTTATGAAATATTTCAATCTGTTTATATATAATATTCATGTGTTTATTTATAAATAACAGACAAATTCTATGGTAACAACTCTTGTGAGAACCTTCTGTAAGAATATGGAAACAAATTGTTACATTTTACCTTTTAAAATTTTTATAAAACTATTTCATTATTTGTTATTTTTTTAACAAGATGTTAATGACATGTTATATGGCCCTTATTATATAAATGGTTGTTTTTATATATTTTTAACCCAAGCCCTTAGGCAAGGGTTTTATTGCAAACAACCCTTTATATATGGCCATATAACCTGTCAAATGTTAATCTTTAAAACGAATTTATAGTACTGCAAACTTTATTTAGCGCAAAAATTAAAATTTATTCATAAGTTGACTGCAGTTGTATATATAGATTATATATACATCAGGATTATCCAATGAAAAGCGATGTTACAAACATGCAGTATTATAAGAGATATTATACCCTTAATACCATAGCCTGCTGGCAGCCACTGATTCTACCCATGTGACCAGTGCAGACAAAGATCAGCCTGACACATCTGTGTTGTCTGACCTCTTTATTAAGATTTTCACAATATCTTTGTTAACAAAATTCTCATCTATATACAAATGTACCTTTTATATTAAAATTCTGCCATATATTTGTAATTAGTAATTTGTGCCACCTTATGATGGATGCATCACCTTAACACAATCTAAATGTAATAACACAATGTAACTCGGATAGAAGATATGCTAAATTTATTATTGATGAGGAGAGACTTGCTCTTGTCTGGTAATATTAAAATAACTACCCCTCCTAGATATATCAAAGCCACAAGACCTTTGATCAGGGAGAATGTGTTATTTAACAAGGCAGGTTTGTCTGCAATATTTTTTCTCTATGGGTCGGTCATTTACATACTCAAATTTGATTTGACACATTATTCTCTTTTTTTTCTTAAGTGATAAAAATACTGGGATCTGATTAGATACATAATTTATTAGGAAATTATTTTAATACTTCAATGGTTGATAAAATATAGTAACAGCAAACTATGTTCATGTAAACATCGACCCAGTGACTGTACCTATTTTCTTCTCTATCAAGATGAAACTTATATCCATTGAGCATTCCTTGATATACTGTAAATTGGAACTTACATATTTTCTCCACTTGTGATTAACAACTTCCCTTTGCATAAATTATTCGTAGTTTAAATTATCATAGAAAACCATGCAGCATAAGCCTCCCCCACACACTCACCCCCACCCCCCTCTGCTGGATGATGGACGCACACTTATGAATTCACAGTCAAAAGCACATATACCTGCCCTACTGAGCTATTAATTGGAGAGTTAAAACTTGGCTTATTTACCCCTCTATTCTTTCCTGGAATTAAAATTGATTAGTGCCTTTTTGCTTCAAACATACTTAATTTCAATCTAAGACTTCTGTTTTTTTTGTTTTGTTTTTTTCATTACATCATTTTTTAAGCTATTTTGGCCAAGCTTTGTATACAAATGTAACATAATAGAAAGGAAACATTGGTTAAGCTACAAGTGACCTCAGATATACATTGATGTTGACATTAGGTTGCACGCAATATTGAACCAACATAAAATAGGCAATCATTTCCAATCAATCAATACAAACAAGTAAATATAGCCTCCAATTTCCAATTTCACTCTCTAATTTGTATTCAATAACTTTTTATTGGAAAAAGAACTTGATTATTGGTAATTTCAATAGAAATAACAATTGCAATACCTTTCTTGTTAGATTTGATATTTATGTGTAAGAGAAAGTTTTATTTCTCCAAGAACAGAACAATTTTATTATATCATGCTAATTTTCTGTGGGTATATAATATATTCATGTGATAATTATAATTTTGGAACATTAATTTGAAGGAGTTGTGGGGTTTGGGTATTCAGGCAGACTGAAATTCAGAAAAAGAGACAACCAGGATTTTTTTAGAGGGGGAGGGAGGGTGTGGGGCACAAAATTTCAACAAGGGTTAATGCATAATTATTCTAAAGCAAACTTTACCAAAACTGGGTAAATTATTTACTGATATTCAAAAGCTTTTGCTTGATTTTCACAGAAAAACAAAATATAATAAGTTGTCATCTAAATTTCAGAGGAGTTCTATATCCTATAGGATTCATGATCCCTTGCCCTCCTGTGCCCCTCCCCCATGCCATCCTGTGCCCCTCCCCTTGCCCTCCTGTGCCCCCTCCCCCCTCTGGATCTGTACATGAAGAAAATTCTGTATGAGCAATGAAAATATTATTATTTGAAAAATGATTTGGTTTTTTAAGATGAAAAATGCAACCTTTCTACTCGTTCCTAGGTATCTGCTTACGAGATGAACCCTTGACCTGCTAGAACCTAAAGTGATTATCCTATGCCAACAACACAAAGTGATTATCCTATGCCACCAACCTAAAGTGATCATTCCTTGCCACAACCCGTAAATGATTATCCTTTGCCACAACCCTTAAATGATTATCCTTTGCCACAACCCTTAAATGATTATCATTTGCCACAACCCTTAAATGATTATCCTTTGCCACAACCCTTAAATAATTATCCTTTGCCACAACCCTTAAATTATTATCCTTCAAATTGATACCAACCTGGTGAGCATCCAATGTCAAAAACCTAAAATCATCATCCTTTGCAAACAACTTAAAGTGATCATTCTTTGCAAAAACCCTTAAATGATAATCCTTTGCCAAATGATTATCCTTTGCCAAAAACCTTAAATGATTATCTTTTGCCACAACCCTTAAATCATTATCCTGCAAATTGATACCAACCTAAAGTGATAATTCTTTGTCAAAAACCTAAAGTGATTATTCTTTGCCACCTACCTAAAGTGATTATTCTTTACCACAACCTGTAAATGATTATCCTTTGCCATCAACCTAAAGTGATTATTCTTTGCCACAACCCGTAAATGATCATCCTTTGCCACCAACCTAAAGTGATTATTCTTTGCCACCAACCTTAAGTGATTATTCTTTGCCACCAATCTAAAGTGATTATTCTTTGCCACAACCCGTAAATGATTATCCTTTGCCACAAACCTAAAGTGATTATTCTTTGCCACAACCCGTAAAAGATTATCCTTTGCCAACAACCTTAAGTGATTATCCTTTGCCAACAACCTAAAGTGATTATCCTTTGCAAACAACCTAAAGTAATTATCCTTTGCCAACAACCTAATATGATTATCCTTTGCCAAGAACCTAAAGTAATTATCCTTTGCCAAGAACCTAAAGTGATTATCCTTTGCCAACAACCTAAAGTGATTATCCTTTGCCAACAACCTAAAGTGATTATCCTTTGCCAACAACCTAAAGTAATTATCCTTTGCCAACAACCTAATGTGATTATCCTTTGCCAAGAACCTAAAGTGATTATCCTTTGCCAACAACCTAAAGTGATTATCCTTTGCCAACAACCTAAAGTAATTATCCTTTGCCAACAACCTAAAGTGATTATCCTTTGCCAACAACCTAAAGTAATTATCCTTTGCCAACAACCTAATGTGATTATCCTTTGCCACTAACCTATAATGAATACCTTTTGCCACCAACTTAAAGTGATTATCTTTTGCCACCAACATAAATTGATTATTCTTTGCCACAACCCTTAAATGATTATCCTTTGCCTCAACCCTAAAGTGATTATCCTTTGCCACCAACCTAAAGTGATTATTCTTTGCCACCAACCTAAAGTGATTATCCTTTGCCACCAACCTAAAGTGATTATCCTTTGCCACCAACCTA